AAATACTGGATAACCTTGAATGGGTCAATCAAAATTCCATACCTGCAAATAAAATCAGTTTTGATAATAAAGAATAAAATAATGAACTTCATTTGAAAATAAAGTTTTGAACATGATGAAAAAGCAATTACTAAATCAAAAGTGTACTATTTAAAAATTTCATACTTACTTCAACAAATTCTCAATTAACAATCTTGCATTGGACAGCACCTAATAAACATGATAAAAATTGTGTGTATATTTAATGGTATCAAAATCAATTTAAAAAAGTATTGATGTTGAAACTAGGTATATTATAACTAGCTGTACTTGTTATTATTTTAATTTTCAAATGTGTATATAAACTGCACTAGAAAATGTTTCTGACATGTGTCATATGTAAAATGTCCCTAATATTCATGTTCTACTGTGGGTGAATAAGTTGAGGCAAAATGTGGCAGTGAAAACCAAAATGTTTACAAATAATGTAAACCTTTGGTCTTAATTTTTGCTAGAGTATTATGCAGCAATTTTTTTTCTTGACATTAATCTTTTCACACAAGCCATTTTTCCCTCAAATGCAAAATTCACACTTCTTCTATTAAAAACATTACTTCAACAAAAAATTTATACTTTTCTCCCAGTCACGTTGACCTTTTGAAAATGTCCTTAAATCAAGCGTTTGTCCACTTTGTGTTGTTAGGTTCTAGGAGTATTCTATTTATCAAGGACTGACAAGGAGGTTTCAATTTTTCTCCATGTTTTTGCCCCATGCTTGTATTTTCATTGATTCCATATTCAGTTTGGCAACTGATCCCCCCTCTGATATTTTAGAGACATATGTTTCCTTGCTCCCAATTTCTATAGTTTCAATGAACTTTTGATTGTGAGTTTGTTTTCTCCATTTTTCATTCACTTTAATTTCAATGACCTTGGTAAATCAAGAAAAATGGAAATCATTTGGCAAAATGAATTGAGTGACATAGGAGGGACTGATTGTTTTCAGTAAACAAGTCTGTTGTTTTTCGTTTAGTTCTAAATCTGTTGTCCTTGAGTAAAATTTGACGGGCCAGACATATGCGCTGTATGTTACCTAATCACTCAAGGTAGATTATTGAACTGATTATTGAACTGATAACAGCCAGGATCTTTAAAATATCTCTCAAACTAAAATCTCAACAAAACACCTTAATCTGAAGTTCAAGATTGCAACCATAAATTGTATATCAACTTGAGATAGCAAGAACTGGGTCTAAAAAAAACTTAAGTAGAAAACATGCAGCTCAATCGGAGATATGCGTGACTTTGTTGTCCATAACACTTTAAACTTAACAAAATACTTTAATCAAATTAATATATTCTAACCAGGAAGTTGATCAACACTTATATGATGAGACATCTATAATATAATAGAGTTGCTATTTTTATACAATAATATGCAAAAGTATATATTGCATAAAATTTCATTAAATATTACATTGCATATGGGTTAGAGTTCAATGCCTATTACATGCACAAACATGACAAAGTTATATTTAATGTTTTGATTTGCAGTACTTATAATAAGATTTTAATTTTATCTAATATTTCTAATGATCCAGTTGAGTTAAAGGTAAATTCTTATCAATATGAAGGCCTCATCAGCATAATTTGTGTTGAGACCATTCAAAAATTGCACCTGTCAACTTCAAGGTTAATTTTAAAACCCATTGCCTTGGAACAACTCACAAATGTAATTTATTTCCTAAAAAGACTGTTCAACTTTCTATGTAAATAAAGTGTCTTTATTCTATGATAAAACGACCCTGACACATGTATAACCTCTTCGTCAGCTGTTTTGCTAGCTTTTTTTTCAAGGTCTTGTTTACGACTAAATCATTTTTAAAGTTAAAAGTGGGGATCATAATCAGTAAAGATCTTGACATTTATGCAAATTTTCTCATGCTACATTGTTTATCATTTTACATGCATTAAACTCCTTTTTTGTTTTGTAATACATTCAAGAATTTTCCAGAGAATCAAAACTGCAGGAAAACTTTAATCAATCTGCAGAGATCATTAATATTAAACTTATCACAGTAATTATATAAGCCTTAATTTCCTTAACCTTTACTGACAGGTATTATAAAATGCCTGCAGGTCAAGGCAGTGGTCAACCAGTGTTCACGCAGTTATCAACCTGTTACATCATGTTGATGCATGGGTATAGAATTCAATATACTCTAATTAAATCAACATAAAAATAACATACTTATATTTTATCACTTTTACCTGTTGACATATAGTCATTCTCATCAACAGTTGTCAATTTCTTAATACTAAAACAGCAGGTATGTGATTGCATGTATAATGTATTGTTGTATACTATCACTATTTAGCAGGTCCAGTCCAAAGACTATTTCTACCTACGTAGGTATTAATAGCTACGTAGGTATTTAAAGCTACCCAAAGTAGCTATTTTTACCTACTTTCTGTTTTACTTGCATTTTGTAGCCAAATGCAGGAACGGCGCAACATGGTGAGCACATAATTTCTTGATACAGTCACACTGATGATGAATATGACAAAAATTTGGCCAAAAAATGAAAACTTCGTATATTATCAATTTTGCATAGAAACTAATGTAAAATTGCGGATTCAGGAAGTAATCATTTTTTGGCAAAATTTTTGTCGTATTCACCATTAGTGTGACCATATCAAAAAATATGGTATTTACCATGGTGCGCCGTTTTGTTTTTTGGTCGCAAAATGCAGAAATTATATAAAGTAGGTAAAAATAGCTACTTTTGGTAGCTTTAAATACCTAGGTAGCTATTAATAGCTACGTAGGTAGAAATAGTCTTTGGACTGGACCTGTTTAGCACCTGACTAAGTATTTGACCCCCTCCCCCACCCCCTTCCAAGAAAAAAAAGAAATAAGGAAAATTTCTACCCCTGCAAAATAAACTGCATAATTCACAATTTATAGTAACTATGTTTGAGAAACTTTACCCAAAAAATCTTGCATTTACTTTGCCAGCATTTACTTTACCACTGCATTATCATTACAGTACTATTCATGTATAATAGAAAACAAAGTGCATTTTAATTTATAGCCCATATTTTAGATGGTGCAAATCAGTAAACTTTTAAATAAAATCTAATCACTTACCAAAAGGAGAATGCAAAGATTTAGTAGACCTCTGTAATTTGTGAATCCACTGTCAGTTGTAAATAAAGAGTCTGCATGCTTGTGGATTCTGGAAATCATTTAAAATATACCAATACTAGTATTTCAACAATTTTACAAGCAAAAATAAATTAACGAATGCAAACTTCATACAGTCTTTCATGCAGAAAAAACTTTTTTCTGGGTATTAGAAATAATTGATGAAAGTGATCATAATTTGAATATCACATAAATTTTGAAATGAGCTCAATGATTTAGAAACATCAATGCATGCACTATAAACACTGTATGTTAAACACTGCATGTATGTTGATTAATTGATTTACTGATTGGCTATAATTAATAACCAGAGTCTGAGGTATCTCTGCTTTACTTCAGAGTTATAATAAACTTTATGAAAATAAACACTGTGTGTAAAATACTCTGTAAGTGTAAAAGTGCTCAATCAAGAAGAACTTGGAATTTAAGGGAACAATTTTTCACTCTGTATTAAATATATTTGAAGAAATGAAGAAACAAACTTGAAACACCTGGAAATTTTGTCCATAAATCAATGAAAAAAAAAACAACTTAATTCCATTTTTTAAAAACATGACTTACAATCCCTTAACTTTCAGTGATGACAAGACATACTCTGGTTCCAGTAGAAATGATGGAGTCCACTTAGTCCAAAAATTAATGTATCTAACTTCATAATTTTGTTCTTCATCTTTTTCTTCTTTACTTATCTCTGATCTTTTTTCATTTAGTTCTATATGTTCTTCACATTGATTGTTAAGGTCATACTTATTTCCAGTTTTCTCATTAATATTTTCAACTTGATTTCCATCACATTTCTTGCAAGTTACATCAGCTGCAGTTGCAGTTGACAAGGAATTAATATGGTTCCTGTCTTCTTCTGAGTCACTGTGTTCAGATCTTTTTCTCTTGTAAACATTTTTTGAATTAATCTTAATTTCAGAATTATTGTTAACATCACCTATGGTAAATCTTTCGTGAAATTTGTAATTATCTGTACTCTCAAAAAATCTTCTTGATTTCCTCTGCAGTCCATCTGGAAGGTCACTGTCTGAAATCCTATGGTCTTCAATCAACATTTCCCTGAATTACACTCAACTATCAAATGCAGTAAAAGAAAATTCTAGTGCATGAAGTATGCAGACTCTTCTCTATTGTGCAAAATTTCAACAAAAGATTAAGTGCATTAATATTTCCAATATTCAAAGAGCTCCTTTCATAGTTTGTAGAAAAGTGTTCAATGGGAAACAAGACCAAGATTTAATATATGAGAGGAAAATTGTTTACATGATTCTGACAAAAGCATTCGGCATTAAGTGCACGTGCAGTCACCAGTGATTGGTCCTCAAGACACATGATACATGCGTGAGAGCTATTTATATTTTGGAATGGTCAACGCGTGGGATTTACCTTTGCCGTAACTGAACCGCGACGCGGTCAGGTGTCAACAGACAACACGGAGTAGGTAGCTGTGTAAACAACTAGATCTACGTATATTTAAAATTTTAACAAACTTACGGTTTATCTGGCTCGTTTTCCTTATGCCTTTGCTGTTCTTTGCTGACGGCTTCAACGTGATTAAAACTTATTGTTCGCCGAAGACGAGTACTTCCATCACTTCTGGGTTTTTTAATTCCGGACTTTGTTGCCATTTTTACCGGAAGCACTCATTTAATGCCTGCTTATATCATGTAAAATAAAAGGGAATATCATTTTATCTAAATCATTGACCATTGATTCCTAAACAGATACATTGTAATCATTAATATTTATTGAAAATTTCCACAAAAAGTATAAAATAAAACGTTTTACTTCCTCTGGGTTATTTATCAATCAGCGATTTTTCAATGATATAAGGGTCGAGGGAGAGCTGTCTGCTCATTGACGGTAGGGATATTCATATATGACGTGTAATAATAATGTTTACGAGCAGATATGGTGATTGAAAGAAGAGTTAGTAAATCAAAAAGAGACAAATCAATACGGAGAATCAATTCATTGGACGCAGATGATGCGGATTGTGTTCAAAGTTCAATTGATCATGAAGAAGGTATCTACAACGTACCTGAATAATACATTGAAAATCTGTGCTATAAGTTGTAACAGTTACATGTATTTTATGAGATACTGATAAGTATTGAATGTAGTGAGTTAATATAAGTCACTTGTCAATGACTTTCAGATTTTTTTTATGCCACTGATGATTTGCAAAAATGGCATCAACCGTACAAACCAATAAATGTACTAACATTGAAATTTAATTTTCCAATTTTACCACAGTTCCTAAATGAACATGATTAATTGAATGTAAGATTTTAAAAAAAAAAATATTACAGTCAACATCAAAGGGCTAAAAATAAGCTGGCCTTGGTACACCGGTTGGCATGGTTGGTTTTGCGCTGTAAGCATATACATCTACAGGACTTAATTTAACAATATATATTTATGATATTGGTTAAGATAACCCAGGGAGGAGGGGGATTTGGGAAGTCAATAAATTGTAATCAAAAGTTCTGGAAACTGTCTTTCATTCACTAAAATATAACCTTGAGTGCTTGACTGTCAGTGATGGCTACTGAGGAATCATTTAGATTTCGTGGTGGCGCAGTATTCATGGAATTTATGGGTACCACTATACATATCCAGAAAGTTACATCCTTCACAAATTACTATACTAAGGTTTGAAAGCTCTATTAACTTTTTAGTTATGAGTGAACACATTGAAATTACGTACCCTTGAAGTAATGTTGTATATAATTCAAGCAATTAAAGAAAATTGGCTGCCATGAATTTTGATGATTTCACAGTACATGTATATTGGGTTGATATAGAGAGGAGCAAATGTATGGCTTCAATGGGAATCAGAATGAGACCCCTGCATCCCTAGTCATGAGATCTACCAACCGAGCTACTAGAAGCTGATATCTATGACCCAAAACAATACATTCCTCCCTCCTTAAATTATCCTCGTGCACATTCAAAGATACAACCCAAGTTCTTATTGCCCTTGGTGACCCTTTTACTCACTCCTATTCCAGGGGTGGTCAACAGCAGCAAATCATGAAACAGGAAAGGAGAAAATATAGGACTTGACAAGGAATTGAATCCTAGATATCTGTGTCACTAGTTAGAGACACTTAACCAACTATGCTTCTTAGGACAATATCTTGGCAAAACCATTACAACCTACAGGGTTAATTGTTATGTTCAACTGAAAATCTTCATTGGTATATCCCTGCAAGTGATTCCCAAGTTCAAGTTTTGGAGATTTTTTTTCAAAAAAAAGTTTTCATGATTTATTTAAGATTTCATTGATTTCAGATTACAGTGAAAAAGAACAGAGTATCCTTAAAGTTTTGAGTAGTGGCATTGTCGACGTTGAAGGATTGAGAGAGTTTGCTGTCAGTCCAGGAGGACTACTTAATGATGATATACGAAAAGAGGTGTGGCCCAAACTGCTTAATGTTAATGTCACTGACATTCCCCAGAAACCAAGTAAGTTATCCTTTAAAAAAGTCTCCACAAATATCTTCTTTTTTTTTTTGGTTAACACGTATGAGCATTATGGTTGTATAGACTATATAGCAATAAGAATTAATGCACATTTATTTTTCAATGCAACTATATGAATAATCAGTTCTAATGAACGATTTTGAGCAGAGAGTAGCTGATATATAAATTAGTGTCTGAATACTTTTGTAGCAGTGGAGGTTTTACATGGACACAGGGATTATACACAAGTTGTTATGGATGTTAACAGGTCCTTAAAAAGGTTTCCTCCAGGTAGTATGTTTTATATAATTGAAAAAAGTGTTTAAATCTTTTTAAAAAGATGTTTATCTTCCAAATATTTTTTTGTAGTAGTCAAAAGATTCATCGACAGCTCCTACCAATATGTGAAATTAAGATTGATATTTTATTGGGGAGCTCGCTCAGTTCATTTTATTTCAAAGACTTAAGGATTTTAATTTCTTGTCATAAATTTATTTATGTTATGCAACATCCAATATAGTTTAAGTGAAGAGTATAACTTGATGTATAAGTAAAGCCTAGGGACATTTCAGGTATGGATGAAGATGTCAGGATGTCTTATCAGGATCAGCTGGTGGACCTGATCATGCGGGTGTTGGTACAGCACAATGAACTTCACTACTATCAGGGCTATCATGATATTTGTGTCACATTTCTACTGGTTCTAGGGGAGGATCTAGCTTTTGCCATTCTTGATGTATTGTCATTAAAACATCTCAGGTGGGTCAAGTGTGTTGAAAATGAAGCTTTTTCATGTACATGTACTAGCTGTCTTTTTTTTTTATCTCAAAAAAGTTAAGAATTAAATAATTGATTAACAGATATAAACTATAATAATAAACCGTTGTACATGTATTTAGTTGAATCATCTAGAAATACACATAAGAATATTTATATTTGCTGTGTTTAATCCTACTGAGCCAACTGTGAAATTGATTTCAATGTCATTTTCTTGTATACTCACATGTAGTAATACATCTCAATGAGGCTAAAGAGACGTTATTAAAATATGATGATATAGAGCAGCAAGAAATATTCAATTTTAGTTTGTATTATGTATTTGTTTCAGGGACTTTATGGATGCCAACATGGACAGAACAAAGCACATTCTGAATTACTTGTATCCAATTGTAGGAAGGGCTAATCCTACACTGAGAAACTTTATGGAAGAGTAGGTTAAATTATATTATTTTCTGCTTATTTTGTATGATTTTTATTTTTACTGTCAGTACGTGTGCTATATCTATAATTCCTACAATACATTTGAATAAACCCAGTTTCTGAGAAAGTGTGCAGTTAATAACAGGAGACAGACTTTGATGTGAGGCACATACCTCAAGTATCTGTATCATTAAGAATGTCATAAATATTCCCTACAATTTCAAAATATTGTTCCAAACAGCAAGAGAATGACAAAATAATTATTATAATGCTTTAAAAAGACAAGTTCATCCTACATAATTATTTCAAATGCAGCCTGAATAGTATGAACTGCATGTAAAATTTCCATTTTGTAGTACATGTATACACTATTCTGTATTTCTGTAGGTCTGAAGTAGGAACTGTTTTCTGTTTGAGCTGGTTGATCACATGGTTTGGTCATGTGTTAGGTGACCTAGATTCCATAGTGAGACTGTATGATTTTTTCATGGCATGTGATCCTCTAATGCCTATTTATATGGCAGCGTCTGTAAGTACATGCTAAGTGGATGTACAGTGTTTCCTTCAAAGTTTTGCAAGAAGTACAGACTTTTACAGTTAACAGCATATTTTGATATAGTTATAATCAAACCTGCATTATTTTTGATGACATAACATTGAAAATAATTTAGCTGCATATATAGTGGTTATAGGTACATGTACATGTATATGAATTGTGTTACACGGAGGCCCTTTTGTATATAGTGATTACTTACTGTAAGATCAAATATAGTACGTTATCAGCCTCTGTGATTTGTTCGGAATGCCAGCATGATTCACCTACATCAATCATCAAAAAAGATTACGATGGGAGCATGATAACATAGGTACATGTACATTGTAACTTATAACATATTATTTTGGAGGGTATACAATATCCTTTCAATCCAATTTTCCATAAGAATCAAATAAGTAATAAGAAAAACATTCATGAAGCAAAACTTGGCATGAGGTTGGTAAAAGTGGGACAGGAGCTAGGGTTGTGGATAGTGTGATTGCCCTTCCCTTCCTAGACAAAGTAAAGTGTGCTTTCCAATGCCCAATTTTTAATCTTTTAATTAACCTTTATTAATCAAAATTTTCGTATCACAAAATAGCTTCCTTATATTGTCCTAATATGAAAGTAAGCCTTTGATTGTGAAAGTCAGTGTTTCTTGCAAAAAATATTCTCCAATCAGTAAATGTTTAATATGTTGAATTTAAAAAGCATTAAACTTCTTAATAAAAAGCTTTTTAAGTGATCTAAGTGATTAAAATCATACAGGCAATATTTTTCTTTATTATGAAATATTCAGACAAATTTTATGTACTGTATTAAATCATTTGAATGGTTCCCACAGATTAATGTATTGGGGTATACTGTCAAACACCAAGAGAATTATAAATGAAAATTTCCTGAATTTTGAGATTTGTATGATATTTGTAGATTGTGCTGTACCGTGAAAAAGAAATTCTTGCCAGTGAGTGTGAAATGTGCACCTTGCATGGGATGTTGTCTAAAATACCAGACAATCTGCCATATGAACAATTAATTGTAAAGGCAAAAGATCTGTTCTCAAAATTCCCTCCAAAGACAGTTGCCAAGGAAGCATCTGAAATTCACGAACAGAAAAAGTATGTTTTGTGTTTATAAACTTCACACAGTTAAAACAAATTCTACTCAATTTCATATTTTGAATAGTTTCATTCATATATAGGGTAAATAGTGCCATAAACACATTATTAAAACAAGCACCATCCACACTGGGTTTCAATGAAAAACAGTGAACTTTATTTTATATAAAGGATAAATATATGGCATTTGTTATTTTGTTATAAGTCCTATACCACACTACAATATTTCCATGTTTTGCAGACGTGCTCTCTCGCAGCATAGAAGGAGAAACATTGAGAGGATGAGACAGGGCCATCAGAAGGGGGGAGTGTTGAAGAACTTGTTGTACCTTGATGGGGACAGACTGTTTATAAAGGTGACATTGTGGACTCTTGTAGGGGTGATTACAGCTGCAGGGTTAACATGGCTCAATCATTATTATACCCATGATTATAAGTCATGATGTTAGAGATTTTGATGAAAAGTCTGACTTTTTCTGTTGCTTTCTGATAGATCATTTAAAGAAACATTGTTTTGATTTAGGAAAATCTTGTTAGCTGGTCTTAGAGGATCTCTGACCAGATTTGTTGAAATCATCATGTATTGAGCTTTTGTGTCTTTATTTTCTCATTCTGTGCATTAATTTTCCAAATAGTCCCCTTGCAATTTTTAGTTCTTTTTAAAGTTGCAGGAATTTTTTTTATTAGTTATACATTTATCTATCATTAATTAAACATGTCCAATTCACTGCTTTAATGAAATTTTAGCTCTGCTCAAAGACCAACAGGGCTTAAATGTTGGTTAAGTGTATCTCTTTTTCAATGAATAATTTTTTGAATACACTTGCCTGTAACTCCTCGTACAGTTTGAGTTTGAGCTAAGTTAAACTTGGTACTCAAATACATTACACTAAGATGCATCATTCTGAATATGGAATTTTTAATTTGATTAACCATGATGCCAAGATTTGCTGAAAATTGAAAATTCACCAAAGTTCTTTCAAAACTACTTTTTATAGTTTTGGAGTGATTTCCATAAAATATTACAGAAGTAAACTACACAAAGATGCTCATTCAGGAGTTTTGGAGTGAGGTGAAGAGTTGTCAGTGTTACCAAAAGTAGATATTTCAAAAAATATATGTATTTCAAAACATTGCTCCAGCATGCAGTCTTGTTTACATTAATAAACCATGATACACAAGTTGACAAGAACAATACTAGTATGCAGATTTTGGTGTGAATTTGATTTCATGGAATTAAATGTGTAGGTTAAAGAGTGAGGATACATTATTCCACTATTACATTGTACAGGTAGAAACCAAAAGAGTTAAAGTTTCTCTGATCAACAGCTGCTCTATATACTTGGGTTTTTTTTTTGTATTTCTTTTAAAAATCTTTGAAATTACCGGTATACACTACATGAATTTTACAATGGTACATATTATTGCTTTTGTCTTCCATTTGTTTTGGCATTATAAAAACTGTATATCATGATGATCACTATCTATTCATTTTATTCAATTTACCAAGTTTACCCCTTAATAGTTACTAATTTTGGAAGCTGTGCATCTACAGGCACCTTACCAATGGATGAGGTAACCCCCTCCCTCCCAGCCTCTGAGAATTTTTATTAGATACAAAAACTTATCAAATATACATGAATTCCTATCCTTTCTTACCTATATTCAGATATCTGATATAATTTTCTGCGTTTGTTGCATTTTAGAGTGACCCTTTACCGTTTATAGAAATACTAGTATTTCTCAAAAGCTGAGAGGGGGTTTACATCATCTATTTATCAATTTGTCCAGTGCCCCTAGAAGTTGTAGCTGGGAGGGGACAATGAACTTGCTCCTCATAGCCAGTAAACACATGTATAGTAGGTACATATCTTCATCTTTAAAATTATCTAATTGTTACATGATGATTTAGGAAAATATAATCTCTGATATGAGATAAAGTTATGAAGTGTTCTAAATTGTTGATTCATTCTAGTCGCCATGTGGTTTTATCTTCTTATATCAGCTGGTGTACATGTACTTGTTTGTACCTGTAAAATAAAGTCGTTTATGGGCAGCAGTGATGTCTATATTCCTTGTTTGTTATTCCTCCCATACTCTGGTATTTGGTTACTGTTATCATTACTACGTGTGTCGTTGAATCACGATTTTGTCAGTTTTTAAAAAAAATTTCTAATTAAACTAATTGCACGTGTTAATAATACGGTTTTGAAATTTTTATGACAGATATTGATAAACATTTGACGGACATTTTGTATGTGTTTACCATTAATTTCCATTAAAAAAAATGAACTATTCTTTTTCATTGGGATAGCACTGAAAATATTGTATGTAATTTATTTTCATAATAAGCAGCTTCTAGGTAGTACACCCTATCTGTTTGGAACGTCGTCTCTGTTGTATCCATGTATTTATCAATGGAATAGACTGTAATTGATGCAGAATTTTGTAATATGAATTTTGTTGAATATAGAAAGTTTTAAATTAATTATTATCTATTGTTGTTATGTCACCTTTATGTGGAATTAAACAAAATAATGTTATAATAAAGTCATTATTGTGCTATGTCAAAGATGTAGACAATCATTGGAGAGGCTTTGGGGATATATTAGGGTCCTGTAAGTTTTAGTATACAGCAAAACTTGTTTAGTACGAACACAGATATAGCGAAGTTATTTTGGATCCCCAGCTATATAAATTTAACGAATTCCTTATATGAATATAACGAATTACGGAATTAGCGAAGTAATTTCATAGGTCCCAGTGACTTTGTTATAACCATGGTTTACTGTATAGGAAATATTAGATTTGATTCTAGGCTATGATAAGGTAAAGGAATATTTACTTCATTTTTTTTCTAGGTAGTAAATGTACCGGTATTAAAGTTTTTTAAAATGGAGAAATGTTTAAATGTTTTATTAAATTTAAATGTTTTATTAAAAGTCCCAATGGAGAAATGTTTTATTAAAAGTCCCCATGCAGACATACATTCTAGATTCAAAACAGGCATCAGCCTCTCCTTGTAGAATAATAATCAGCTATCAACATTAAAATGTCTCTGGTATTGAGCTATTATTAGATGTATGTAGAGACCGTAAAGAAAGAACTTATTTTAAATAAGGGCTCAGTCCTTTACAATCTGAGTTTAGAATGTTAAGGTCAAATTTTATCTAACCATATAGTCCCAGACCTTTAATAAAAGTGCAGACTTTTACAATTTTATGTTTGCTATGTATGTCTCAAGGATTTATTGTTTACAAGATAAACTTTTTATTCTCAAGGTTGAGAAAATTGTCAATTTTATGGTACATAAATAGACTAGTGGTTATTTGAAAGTCAAGGATATAATTGCAATGCAAAGTACATTTTGTAATTTGAGCAACTGTCACCTTGGAATTTTGGGCACAATTTTTGGGGGATAAAACATATTGGTGTTTCTCTTTCATTTAAAAAAAAAGGGTGCAAAAGGATGCATCTTTCTACAACTGTGGTACAGCATTATCTTGATTCAGTTATTATCACAATGTCAGGGGTCCTGGGTCAACACAAGCTTCCAGCTAAAAAAATATATAAACTATTATATTGCTTATTTTTTTAAATTCTGATTTAGGTCACCCAGCCCCAATTTCCTTCATAATCTTTCTGCATGGTTCGTTTTTCTAGGAAAATTTTTGTGATTTGGATTCAAGATATAATCATAATTTACATAATGGTTTTTGTTATTTATACTTAAAAATATCATTGACCCCCCTTTCTCGGACAGCTACTAATAGTATTCCATTTGTATACATTAACCTTTAGCTTCTAAATATGATAATAAACAGTATCTGCAGTATTTGTTTAGAAATTCTAAGCAAAACACATTTTGATAAAAAATTATTCAGATGAAGGCACAATGCAATTCATTCAAAGTTTACAGTGTACATGTGCAACTTAATTACTTGTAAATATGAGATTTATTCTTGTAATTCTTTTAGGGGGACTGAGAACGTTGTAGATCTTACTTAAAGAGACAGACATCCTCACTTTCTGACACAGACGTGTTATCTCACATCATTGTTGATTTTTATTTCATCTTTATTTGCATTGTTGATAAATTAGATAACCCTACATATGTTACATTACATGAAATCCTTTTCAAGGATATTTATTCTGTCTAATCTGGTAAGGAGTGGATCAGGCAAGTCCCATGCACCTTCCCTTTTTTGCCCACAATTTTTAAGTACTTTTAAATTTATAACTTGCACGGTTATGTAGGCAGAATATAATGGCTTCAACATCCCTCCTTCGAAGAGGTAAACCCATTCTGTAGTTCAAAAATATGTGTAACCACCCAAAGTAAGCCATGTGCCCCTTTCATGCACGTTTGTGTGTGTGCTGCTGGACTTTTTTTTTTTGAGAACGGGGAGGGGAGGAGTTGAAAGGAAGTGTGGCCCTTCATTTTGACAATTAAAATTTTCCTATTACCAAGGATGCTTTGTACCAAGTTTCGTTTAAAATTGGCCCAGTGGTTCTTGGAAAGAAGTTGAGAATGTGAAAAATTTCAGGAGAAGCAACAGGTGATCAAAAAAGCTCACTTGGGCTTTCAGTTGTTTGAAAGAGGCACAGTTGCTCATCAAGGAAATTTGGTATACAGATCATTTTGTGTTACTTATGCAAAGAAAATGAACAGAAACTGCAAACAATTGAGTTTTTCTTAGTCCAACAGGCATAAGTCTATCCAAAATGGCTCAATCATACCCAAAACAGAACTTAACCTAGATGCTCTTATGATAATTAAATCTGTATATCAAATTTCATTTCAATACGTGCAACGGTTTTCTGCCAAGAAAATGATGGAAAACTGATAATGGACCAACAGACAGCAGCAAAGCAATATGCCCTCCCTTCTTTGAAGGTCGGCATAAATATCATGTACTCGGTTTAGATTCTGAAATTTTTTCAAAATTAAGGGATTGTGATTTTTTTTCTGAAAAACGGGTATAGATTCAACTTCAATTTGTTAATGTTTTCCAATCAAAATCTTCAAAAATTCTCTTAGCAAATGAAAATTCAGTAAAGATCAAATCTTATGAAAATCCAAAATATTCTTTGTGATAACTTTAGGGTGAAGAACAGGGTGAATTAATGCAAGAAATTTCATCACCATTCACCCTGATAAATGGACACCGAAGTTAAAGCACCAACCCCTCTGCACCAAAAAGCAAACAAGCAAAATCTAAAGGCACTTAAAACCAAACTTGCCTATTTTCCCCTCCCTATAGGTACTACTAGTATTAATGAAAGGCCACATTTTAATGTTTCCATTGGGTTTATACAACTGCAATAGCCTTAAGGAATGTTTATATGATGTTTCAATTTTCAAGTTTCCATAAATAAAAAAATAATACTTATTTGAGCTACTTATGACCTTGAAATAGACACTTACTAGGCTTTAAAATTGCAAAGAACGAGGGCACTTTTGATTGGCATTCAGCAGGAATCTGGGTGTACTTGAAAAGTGAAAATTTTATCAACATGTCACTTGAAATTTTAACATTTTTTTATTTATCGGGTTCCTGTGAAATGGGAAAGGAAAATTATTTTCCTGAAAGTGAATTTTAATTAGCTAAGACCAACTACATGTACCAAGCTCCTTCAAAGGCAATAATTCGACAGGTCATTTCTCAGTCTGTCATATTAGCATTGTTTCTCATTACTGGAAAACCCAAGATTTATTCAAACCCAACTCGTTCCCCTATTAGCCAAGTACAATCTTGACCATATTACACAATTTGATGTTACATTGTATTTGCTTAAAAAACAAAAACTTGTTCTGCAAAAACTTCATAATTTATGAAGCTATGAATAGAGAAATAAGGACAAGTAGATCCCTCCCAGACAGGTTACACAATCTGCATACAGGGCAGCCTTGAATGTGGTCAACACAGGGTCATCTGGGGACACCTGTTTGTATAACACACAGTCAGCCTTGAATTCACATAAAGAGGGGCCTGATAACAATGTATACAAAACACTAGTTTGTATTACCTTGGCCCAAGTTGATCCCGGAAGAAAATTCTGTATTGATAAATTTAAACCCATAAAATAAACAAGTCACATTCAGGTATAAGTTTACTTCAATGAGTGGCATTAGCAGCTGTTATACCAGTTTATCACCATATATGCTCTAATTATGCTGATATTTAGAAAAACACTTCTACCCTGCCCAATACAACAAGAAACAGTAACTGGTATCAAAATCATGCCAATGATGGATGCACTTTGTTTTAAAACATGGTGTTGATGCACCCAGCAAAGGCTTTATTTAATAGTCCAAAATCTTGAAAATAAGTCACACAAGTCCAGAAAGAATTCAATTTGCAGCAAGACTTATATTGAATACTTAGTTGTAAAGTTATTCTGCATCTATAATATTATAAGAAATTAAGTATACACCAATAAGTTAATCTCAAGAGAAGTATGCAGGATATGTAAAGGGTGTTAAGAAAGTTCGTTCCACATATTTCTTTTATTTTCGAGAAGAAAAACGATAAGAAGATATTTACAATTTGTGATATTTCATGTTTGCAGAGTCCATTCTTGCTACTGATAAGGTTTTAACTGTCTTTTGTTGAATCAATAAGAGGAGGGCAGGTATTATAATAGATGAAGTCTGTTCAGAAAAATTAGAGATGGCGCATATTTGTGACGTATATTCATTACACATGTCAAAACATCCTTTCAAATACTATGCAAAAATTATCAGATCTGTGAAAAATTTCAAAATGACACAGCTGTTCTTTTGAAAAGTTATCTATCGTTTTTATACCTTCACTCATCAGCTTGTCTGACGCAATATAAGCTATGAAGAAACAAATGTAAATTATCCTTTATTTTTACTCAAAATGACCAGCATTTCTATCATTCGGGTGCTCTAAAGATGTTACATATATTTTCATATGGAAGAAAAATTCTATAATTTCTTACAAGAAATGAATTGCTACAAATCTAAAGCACAGTCTTGTGATTGTGTCAGACTTGAAAATTTATCTTTTTAGTTAACCACTACTTTGAAATTTTTGAAAATATTTCATGATGGAACGAACTTTCTTAACACCCCTTAGATCAAAGTGTGTCCACTTCTCTAGAGAATATTAATAGGTCTAGTGACTGAATTGTACGTCTGTACTTCTGACGCATGCATCTCATTTAAATTATAACTGGAACTAGAGGTACTGTGAGCTATGAACTCACTAAAGGATACCTCCCCTCCCAACTCCCGTATGGTTATCACTGAAAAGTCCATGTTCTGGGAGACCCAAAATAAGTGTCAGATCAAAAAGTAAAATAGGAGGTGCACAATGGCACTATGTATCAAAGATTCTGTGAAAGTCTCATTAAATTTCATACAGAGGTAAAAGAGGAGTTGCGGATGAGAGATGTGTACCCCACAGCATAACAGAAAGACGGATGCACAGAAAGACATATACAGACATCATGATCACTATACACTTTATATATACCCTCAAATTTTTCAAGAGGGGGTGGGGTATTATAATTTTTGGAAATCATTCCTCAGCATAGTATTAGTAACATATTTTGAAAAATTGCTTTATCTGTATTTTAATCACATATTATAACAATATCAAGAAGGCAATTCTGTTGTCTCACATTTTAATGTCATCTAACACCCTTCTTAACATCAAAATACTTTCATATCAATCCATCCTTATGAGCTAACTTAAGCCTGATTGAATGTTGATGTCTAGGAAATCAATCTAATCTGCACTATACGAAATATCTTATTTTGCTTATAAAATTATTCTTTCAAAAGAGCACTTATAAAGTTTGTCACTCTGAAAACAGAGCATTAATGTCCGAGACAATCCGGTGACCTTGAACAAGCATCCAAAATTTTACAAGTCCTAGCATACAAACATGTACATATATCTTCAGTTTTTAGGGTATCCTTGATTTATTTTCATGTCTCAGTCAGATTTTGGTGATCACCCCATTCTATTTATAGAATCACAATATCATCACTTTGATCCGAGCTGGCCTTCACTCTTTTGGCCTTGATCGCCTCAGGATCTTGGTCAGCTTTGCGTTTTGTTCCAGTTTTGATTGCCTCAATATCGTCCACCACCATGACATCGTCTTCTTCTGAAAAGTAGGGCAAAATGGTGAATGAAGTTTTAATCAAACATTTGAAGTAGTGTAGATCTAGCATGTGGCAAACACACATGTTATAGAATTTCACAGAATTTATTAAAATATGCCCATAGAACATGAATTGGGACCCACCCAAGTACACTACTTTCTTTTCTGCTCTAATCTTATTTAAGGAATATAAACTGTCTTATTTTTCGATTTCATGATGTGAGCGATTGATCATCGTCATGAAATTTAAAAATAAGACAGCTATTCCTTATATTTTCATTCTTTGATTCCGCCAGTCCAAGAGCTCCAAGCCCTGCTACTGTCTAACTGTTTGTTACGCACTGCACGTGGTTTTTTTTTTTTTGAGCAGCTCCAATACATTGATGGGGAAATAAAGTACATTTACAATTTGTAATTTTATCTTGAACAAAGACATTGGAAATGTAAATATCTTTAAAATAAAACATAGGTAATCAAAGATTACGAAGCTCACCTCCATGAATGTTATCAGTGTAAGTAATACAATCAGGTATTAAACCCTGGAGTCTCCAAGTTGTTAAGTTTCAAACCTAATTTTCATTACTTTTTAATTTACTTCTTTTCACAATTAATTAAGGAAATGATGAAAATTTCTATTTTTTAAAAAATGTCATATTTTTACTAGGTCTGTAACCTCCCCCCCCCCCCCTCCTTCCCAGGTGAAAAAAATATAAACAAGAGGACGTTTTCTGTCAAGAGTTGGCTGATATCAATACAATATCAAATTAATTGTGTAATTCCAACATTTTTTTTTCTTTTTTTAAATGGATACTACCATAAGCTTTAAACATTACAATTTTAAAACAATATCTGTGTCAGATAAACATAATAAAAAAATTGAATAACAAAAAGTGCATTGCATTGTTGAGAAATCAGATGTAAGTATGCCTTTTCTTAAAGCTTGTGTCGCGAAAAGTGGCGAAAAATATTTTTAGTCCAGTGGGAGCCCTGGTAAGTAATGCAAATCTCACATCATATTTTCTTAATATCTAGTATTTATCCCAACAACAATATTCTTGCAAGTTGTGTTTAACCCCTTATATTTACATTTGCAAATGTTTTCCTTTATATAACACTACTGAAAGCAAGCGTTTTTATAACTGTGTAAATACAGGTATGGGGTAATAGATGTGCGTTTGGATAAACGTTCGACGTAATTTCTCTGTGACGTCATAAAGGGTCGACGCGTGTTTAGTGGATTACATACATGCCGTTGGGTTTGAAAAATTACCGCATTTCACGTGTTAAAAGTAACAATCAGGCAAATATAAAGTATGAATAAGTCACAAATGTACCGGGGTAAATATAAGTAATAAGGTATCATTTTTTGAGTTTTATTGAGATGTAAAACGGGTTGGCACATGATCAAATCTTCCATAAAGCCCTTCGGGCTTTATGGGATTTGATCACGTGACCAACCCGTTTTACATCTCAATAAAACTCAAAAAATGATACCTTATTTCTTAAACATGGCATATACACATTTCTATGCATGTAGCATGAAAAACATGTATAGTGTAAACCAATATTCATAAATTTGTTAATACTGCAGATATGAGGGACTTCAAGTTCATTGGGATTAATCTGTTCTCAAAACTTTAATCTGGTCTCTTGTATGGAAAATATAGGTCAGATTCAGCATCCAAAGCAAGTCTGATAGTGTCCATCCCTAGATGCATCATCCATGCAAGTTTGGTTCAGGTAGGGCTTATAGTTACTTGGGAATGAAAATGTAGGTCAGATCCAGCATCCGAAGCAAGTCTTGTAGTGTCCATCCCTAGATGCATCATCCATGCAAGTTTGGTTCCGGTAGGTCTTATAGTTACTTGGGAATGAAAATGTAGGTCAGATCCAGCATCCGAAGCAAGTCTTGTAGTGTCCATCCCTAGATGCATCATCCATGCAAGTTTGGTTCGGGTAGGTCTTATAGTAACTTGGGAATGAAAATGTAGGTCAGATCCAGCATCCGAAGCAAGAGTCTTGTAGTGTCCATCACTAGATGCAACATCCATGCAAGCTTGGTCTGTTGAGGGCTTATAGTTCCTTGGAAATGGACCTGCTCCAAAAACTTTAACCTGGTCACTCATCTGGAAAATGTAGGTCAGATCCAGCATCCGAAGCAAGTATGGTAGTGTCCATCCCCAGATGCATCATCCATGCATGTTTGATCTGGGTAGGGCTTATAGTTACTTGGGAATGGACCTGCTCCAAAAACTTTAACCTGGTCACTCATCTTGGGAATGGACCTGCTCCAAAAACTTTAACCTGGTCACTCATCTGGAAAATGTGAGTCAGATCCAGCATCTGAAGCAAGTATGGTAGTGTCCATCCCTAGACGCATCATCCATGCAAGTTTGGTCTGGGTAGAGCTTATAGTTACTTGGGAATGGACCTACTCCAAAAACTTTAACCTGGTCATTCATCTAGAAAATGTAGGTCAGATCCAGCATCCGAAGCAAGTCTGGTAGTGTACATCCCTAGATGCATCATCCATGCAAGTTTGGTTCAGGTAGGGCTTATAGTTACTTAGGAATGGACTTGCTCCTAAAACTTTAACCTGGGACGCCAACACCGACGCCAACGCCGGGGGTATAGCATAAGCTCGTCTCGACTTTGTCGGGGTGAGCTAAAAATTAGAATAAGAAAAAGATTTAGGTTTTTTTTCACTGATACTGGTACCTTTAGTACAGTTGTCTTCTCATCTTCGCTAGCCAAGGGTTTCCGATCCGAAATCTATAGATCGGAAACCCTTGGCTACCAAAGATGTAGAGTAGATTTCGGATCGGAAACCCTTGGATAGCGAAGATGTTGTCTTCTTAGCATGGTATGTAATATTGATTCACCCTATACATATCTTTAGTTTCAACTTCATTCTCTCATACATCTTACAATAGCAAATTTAAACACTATCTCATATGCAGATATGATTACCCTCATGGAGATTTAGCTGTTTATAAAGGCGTTTAAAGTATTCCTTTATGGAAATTTTTAAAAAGGCTAAGAGAAAACTAAGTACAAACTAAGGGGAATAATCAAGATAAGGTTAACAAGAGATGTTTGTAACACACTTATGCCCCCACCCATAAATTTGATTTTTTCTTAAGTCCAAGGGGCATAACTCTATCCAAAATGACTCGATTGTACCCAAAACAGAACTTGACCTAGTTATTCTTATGATTAATCTGTATACCAAATTTCATTTCAGTATGTGTAGCTGCTGCAAAGAAAATGAATGGAAACTGATGGTGGACATCAAACAGCAGCAAAACTATATGCCCTCCCTTCCTCGAAGGCAGGCATGAATATTATAATAAATTCCAAAAGGTCTTGTCACAAGTATTGCATATGTGAAAAAAAGAAAAACCTGTCTCTTCTGGAGCAAAGGTTATGTCCAAAGAGCTAAATTCTAAATTAAAACAAGTGAAATCAAGGTCAAAGGGAAGGACAAGGTCAGAAAATCCTGATAATATTGAACTGCTCTTACTAATATTGTATCAATTTTTCAATTTGTTAAAAAATATGTTGAAAAGTTTCTTAAAAAGACAACATGCGGTATATTGCATAATTTTGCCCCCACAAAAGTCATATTTTGTCAATTTCCTGAAATGTGCTGAATTTTTATATATTGTATGAGAAATCTATATTAACAAAAAATATTATAGTTCCAATGCAGGGTGTTGACTTATATAGCCTGTGCCCGTTGTCCAATCCATTTATGTATTATTTTATAAAAAACAAAAAAGTCTGTGAGCCAGATAATAATGCTCACTAGTTAAAGCCCCACTCTGATGTGAACATACATTATCATGTTAATATACACAAGTTCAATTATGGGCAGATGCACAGATAAATAGGAAATTGAAATCAGAGACATATAAAAATAAATCCCACCATATGGCATGTCTCAACAAATTATGTACTAAAATTTTAAGCATCTGCAATGAGTAGTTGCAGAGAAAACTGCAACAAAAATTTGTTATGTATGGTACGGACAGACACATGAATAAACAGGAAGTTTATTTGATCAAAAATGAATTCCATTATATGTCATGCCTCAGAAAAGAATCTGCTTAAATTTCAAGCACCTGCAATTAGTACTTGCTAAGAAAATTGTGACCAAAAATTTGTTACACACAGACAGATGGACAGACAAACAAGGGTAAAACAGTAAACCCCATCCCACCCTTCTTCGGAGCAGGGGTACTGTATAAGTATGTTACAATCAAAACAAGAGATGTTTGTAAAACACTTATGCCCCCCTCCCCCACAAATTGGAATTTTTCTAAGTCCAAAAGGGCAAAACTCTTGTCAAAAATGGTGTGATCATATGATCATACCCAAAACAGAACTTGACCAAGATATTCATCTGACTAATCTGTATACTAAATTCCATTTCATTGTGTGCAACTTCTTGCAAAGCAAATGAATGGAAAGTGCAAAAATATGGAATTTTTCTAAGTCCAAGGGGCATAACTCTGTCAAAAATGGTGTGATCATACCCAAAACAGAACTTGACCTAGATATTCATCTGACTAATCTGTATACTAAATTCCATTTCAATATGTGCAACCTCTCCAAAGAAAATGAACGGAAAGTGCAAAAATATTGAATTTTTCTAAGTCCAAGGGGCATAACTCTATCAATTATGGTGCGATCATACCCAAAACAGAACTTGACCTAGATATTCATCTGACTAATCTGTATACTAAATTCCATTTTAATATGTGCAACTTCTCCAAAGAAAATGAGCGGAAACTGCAAATAATTGGAATTTTTCTAAGTCCAAGGGGCATAACTCTGTCAATTATGGTGCGATCGTACCCAAAACAAAACTTGACCTAGATATTCTTCTGACTAATCTGTATACTAAATTCCATTTCAATATGTGCAACCTCTCCAAAGAAAATGAGCGGAAACTGCAAACAATTGGAATTTTTTTAAGTCCAAGGGGCATAACTCTGTCAATTATGGTGCGACCATACCCGAAACAAAACTTGACCTAGATATTCATGTGATATACTTGTATACCAAATTTCATTTCAGTATGTGCATCGGTTATGAAGAAAATGAGCGGAAACTAAATGGACCGACAGACCGACAGACCGACCGACCGACCGACCGACAGACAGCAGCAAAGCAATATGCCCTCCCTTCTTCGAAGGGGGGCATAATAATAGAATTTAGTATTTTTGTAAAACTGTTTACAAACAGATGGATGATGGAAACCTTCACATCACCTTAGCTCTTGATTTTAACCAGAAGAGCATAAAATAAACAGTCAAGTTTAAAAATTAACTGAATAAGGAAAAATTAGCAGGCTAGAAAAATGTGCTTTGTTTGCCTGGGCTGAGTGAATTTTGGGGTCCAACTTAAAATTTCCTTCTGCCAAGTTTATTGAGGCTAAACACGATTCGTAAAAGGAATTGTCCGTCGAATTCGATTGGTATCTCGCTATAACTGAAGAACCCTATATATAGAGCTGATCACTTTGTCACTGTTCAGTGTAATTAATCGTCACCGGTGAAGATGGACTTGCTGAAAATCTGTTTATGCCTATTTACAAGTCGTGTTAATCTTTAAAATCTCAATATATCAGAAAGAACATTTTTTTAGGGATAAAGAGCCTTGGAAAAGAGAGCACTAAAGGCTAGGTATATATATATATATATATATACTGACCCTCTTCCTGGTCTTTGGTAGCTCCGTTGTGATTGGCTGTTTTTTCCTCCTCTGGTTTGGCCTGAAGCTCTGATAAATCTCCCACTACATCAAATTCCTTCTCCTCCTCCAACTTCTCCCTGTCAACAAAACATAAACAAAATACAAAAGAGGTTCTCTGTTGAAATAGACTCTGTAAACAGAGTGCAGACAGGCAAGGAGTAATTTAATATTTTTGAAAACAATACACTTTGGCCTTGCATCAAAGGCTTCAATGCAGAACATAATGAATTTGTTCAGTTATGAAATGGGTACATTGTGTCTGTATAATTTAAAGTATGACAAAATTTAAATTATAATATTATTAAAATAATTTTTAATCCTTATTTTAAAGTCAAAAATTTACATTCATCAAAATTCTTAATTATACAGTAAGTCTTTTTCATATCCAACTAAAAAGTTATCTTTCAAATCTTTTTTCAAAATTGGCAAAGCAGGGATTTACATCCTGTCAGACTAAAAATAGTAATTTTTTAAAATAATTACTTACGTGTGAGCTATTATCACTTTTAATTCATAATTTTGTAAAAAGTCATCACACTTAAGAATGCTGCCATTTCCTATATGGAATTCACTCAAAAATTTATCACTGTTTTCTGAAATGAAAAGCAATTCATCATTACATCATTACTTTTGAATCTAGAATACATTTTTCAGTAGTCTAATTATACTGATGTTGAACTTCATTCATCATTTCTTTACAGTAACTGTAAACCGACTTTTATCACGTGTGAGAAATATCCGAGAGTTTCACAACCTACTTTAAGTCTCAAATATTAATTCCCGGAAACAATTCATTTTGCTTTTATTTGAGAATACTGTGAAATCACAAATTTTCGTGGGGGGTTAATTTTTGTTGTTTTCGAGGTATGACGAGACCCACGAATTCATGTCCACCAAGAAATGTAAAATGTAACATACATAAGTACTCATTAATTCTTGATCCACGAAATCAAATCCCCACGAACTAAGAGATTTTCCTAAAACCACGAAAAATTTGACCGAGAAATAAAAATATGTGATTTTACAGTAATGTTTCCTCAGTCACTAAAAATAACTGTCGTGGATTGTGGAATGATTCCATATGGACGAATCACAAGTATTATTTAAGTATATGAAGGGCGGGGCTTGAGGCGAGAGCGATAGCTCGAGCCGGTTTACAGTGTATCTCTGATACAGAGAAACTGTATTCTAAATGACTTGTGACATGACCTTTCTAATGACCTCACCAATTTACATTCATATTTGGGTACATATCTCTCAACCAATCAGATGATTTTAGCAGAAAGTTGATTTAGTATCCCATTTTTAAGCAGTCGCAACTGAAATGCCGAGTGAGGTGGACGTGCAGGTAATTATTTACATTTATATCTTAAAAATAATTATTTGAGGGATGCATTATATAATTTGTTTTCCAAAAAAATTATTTAGATTTAATTGGGTAGGTTTCTTTTTTTTCTCAATTCAGCTCTTGCTGACATTTTTTTTTATTTAAACTATGAATTAATGCAAAACATTTTTAGATATAAGAATCATATTTTGAAACAAAAATGCTTCGGGATATCGTATACTGAGAGAAATCTCCGACAATATCCTCTAACCTGTAATCATATACAAAATTGAAATAAACAGATGAAAGAAAGGGGGGGGGGATTTTACTTCAAGTTTTTAATAAAATGTAGAGTCACCAAAGGGGGGTCAACACACTTGCCCCCCCCCCCCCCCCCCCCCCCCCCACCCAACTTAAATTTTTTTTTTATTTTTTCGCTTTTGTAAATTATTTTTGCCAATCGTATATACATACTATTTTTAATTTATCAACAAGTAACGATTTCACGCACATAGTGTCTTGTTTGATTACAAACCTACCCCCCCCCCCCCAAATACGATTTTCAGGGGTTTTTTAGGGGGGTCAAGGTAGTCCTTTTTGATCTGCCCCACTCCCTCCTTTCTAAATTTTTTGAATCCGACACTCATGTAAGTTTATTTTGTAAAATTTTATTCTTAATAAAATCACCTCAAATTTTGAGTAATTACTAACAGTGCTATCATGCGAATTGAACGATTGTTGTGTCTGAATATGAAAACAGCTTTCCGTCATCGCTAAAAATAAACCGTACTGTATCTTTGGTATTTTGCAGATACAGTACAGTTTCTGCTCATTTGCATAAGAAACGCCCACAAAAAGTGTTCTGTATCGCAGTTACAGTACGGTTGACTTCAAAGGAAAACTCGCCGGGTCATGTCACAAATAAAATATGAAGCAAGTAATAGTTGGTTTACAGTAAGTTTACAGAGAACTGTAGTATACCTTCTGTTTCTCCCTCCTCACTTGAGATGAGAATAGTTCCTAAAAAAGAAGAGCAAGAAAAAATTTGGCTTCTGCACAAGTTTCCAGATACAAGAGCATCATTTTAACTATTGAACTTTATCTCCTTCTAGATGCAGTATTTCTTGGAAAAACTAACCTTTTCCATCATCAATTTCTACATCTGGGGCCACCATCCCTATGGCATTCTTTAAGATCTGGAAATAAAGCAAAGGCAACACTAGAACTGATCATTACTCAGGTAATAAGTATTACTCTCCATTCAGATTACGATTACAACACTAGTTAAGATTTATCATGCACTGAGCGATTGATATATAATCTTTTTATTTCCTATGAAAAATTGCAAACAAGTTATTTATAATGTACTAAATCTACATGAACATTGACAGAATAAATCTACATGAACATTGACAGAATTTCTTCTAACTTAATAATCCTGTTAGCTGTCAATGTTCGGAAGTTGGTCAGTATACAGGGTGTGTATAAATTCATACCTTGTCTTCCAGTGTCTTGTCTGTATTTGTTTTAGTATGGAGTTGGACAGTATACAGGGTGTTTATAAATCTATACCTTGTCTTCCAGTGTCTTGTCTGTATTTTGTTTTTGTATGGAGTTGGACAGTATACAGGGTGTTTATAAATTTATACCTTGTCTTCCAGCGTCTTGTCTGTATTTGTTTTTGTATGGAGTTGGACAGTATACAGGTTGTGTATAAATTTATACCTTGTCTTCCAGTGTCTTGTCTGTTTTTGTTTTTGTATGGAGTTGGACAGTATACAGGGTGTGTATAAATTTATACCTTGTCTTCCAGTGTCTTGTCTGTATTTGTTTTTGTATGGAGTTGGACAGTATACAGGGTGTGTATAAATTTATCCTTGTCTTCCAGTGTCTTGTCTGTATTTGTTTTTGTATGGAGTTGGACAGTATACAGGGTGTGTATAAATTTATCCTTGTCTTCCAGTGTCTTGTCTGTATTTGTTTTAGTATGGAGTTGGTCAATATACAGGGTGTGTATAAATTTATCCTTGTATTCCAGTGTCTTGTCTGTATTTGTTTTAGAATGGAGTTGGACAGTATACAGGGTGTGTATAAATTTATCCTTGTCTTCCAGTGTCTTGTCTGTATTTGATTTTGTATGGAGTTGGACAGTATACAGGGTGTGTATAAATTTATACCTTGTCTTCCAGTGTCTTGACTGTAATTTTTTCTGTATTTAGCACCACCGTCACTTCAGGTTTGGATGAGCACACGTAACACTTTGGACTGGGTTTGTCAAGAGCACATGGCACCAGGAGTTTTTTCCTAGGATTTGGTTGTCTGTTTAAGTATATCTGTTAAAACAATATGGGATATCAATGATCTGTCAACACAATACCTGATATAATTGATTAGTCAACACAAAACTGATACCAATGATAGTCAATACTAACATTTTATAATACATTTATTTCAAAGATGTGTTAACCTATTGTTAGATATTAAAAACATATGCATCTGACGATAAAAAAAAAATGAAAATAAATGTCAGACCTATAAACACCTTTCTGGATATCAATAATTTGTCAATAGAATAATGGATATCAATGATCTCTAAAGACAAAACTGGATATCTATGATCAGACATCAATGTTCTGTCAAAACAATATTGGATATCAATGATCTTTCTTCACAATATTTACATGTATATAATAGTGTTGTGCTTTGCATGCACTATGCCTAAATAGTAGTCAGGATTTAACGACAAACCACCATAAACCACCACTGACAGACAATAAGCCATACATACTTGTTTACAATCCTCTATTCTTCCATTTAAAATTTTTAACCCCTCCATCACTATAAGAGCTGCTATGATTGCGTTTGTTGTTGCTATTGCAGGTATAATGTTCCCAGCCATTGCTGAAAGTTCAGGTCATTTCAAAGATTAACTCGTAAAAATAGAAGATGATTTAAGGAAGTCTCCAAATACTACCAATACTACCCCTTTTATATACCTGTACATACACTGATCATTTTTAAAGCACTTCATTAAAAAGTCTAACTTTGATAAAACATACAATGATAATTCTCAAAGCACTTCTTAAAAAAGTCTCTCTGATTAAAGCACTACAATACACCACTTTCGCTGTAATATTTTTTTCTGTATCATGACATTTTTTTCTATTCTATTATAATTTGCAGCTTAGTATTAAATACATAAATCAAAGGAATATTCTTTTTAAGGTTTTCTTTGAGCATTAACATTTTTTTTCATAACACATATACATGTATTATCTTCCATTTTGTAAAACTTACACTTGATGTCAAATCTAGTTTTCAAGTTGATACCAAATATGTGAGATCTAATGTTAGCTGTGCTTGCCACGAAGTCCATAGCTAGGTCATCATCCTGAAACCACAAAATAATAGTCCTATAGTATCTTCCCTGCTACTGAAACTGTTTTACATATGACCCATAGTGAGATAGTGACTGACCTTGTCCCAGATCAGCATCCCGTTCTTGCCCTGTTTAGCGAACTCCTTCTTCAGTCCGGCCAGACAGTCGGTGAAGACGTCGGCACACTCCTTCATCGACCAGACTCTCTGATCCCTCATCACACTGGACGGTTCTGAAGACTCTGTAAACATGTCAGGAATAAGGGTCTCATTATCACTGGTATTAATACTGCAAAATTGGAAATTTTAGTGAGAAGCAAATTTAGCAATTTCTCAATTAATTTTTAGAGATTCAATTTTAGCTATCTCAGCACCCTTGCTAATAGTGCCAAAATTAAATTCTTGCTAAATTTCCACTTATACGGTAGTTATTATTAAACAAGAGGCCCATGGGCCACATCGCTCACCTGAGCACTGTGGCTAGGAAAAAGTAGAAATTGGTTTATTATTGAAAAGTTTAAATCCAAAAGTAGTCCCATGACCAATCATGGATTTGCTATTCTTTAGAAGATGATTTTTAAAGAATTTTCCTATATATTTCTATGTAAAAACTTGGTCGGCCATTGTGGCCCCACCATACCTTGGGGTCATGATTTGAACAAACTTTGGTTGGCCATTTTGGCCCCGCCCTACCCCCAGGGGTCATGATTTGAACAAACTTGAATCTACACTATTTGAGGATGCTTCCATATGAATATGCTGAATTATGGCTTTGCTAATCTTGAGAAGAAGATTTTTAAAGAATTTTCCTATATATTTCTATGTAAAAGTTTGGTCGGCCATTTTGGCCCCGCCCTACCCCCAGGGGTCATGATTTGAACAAATTTGAATCTACACTACCTGAGGATGCTTCCATATGAATATGATCAATTATGGCTTTGCTATTCTTGAGAAAAAGATTTTTAAAGAATTTTCCTAGTATATATTTCTATGTAAAACTTTGGTCGGCCATTTTGGCCCCGCCCTACCCCCGGGGGTCATGATTTGAACAAACTTGAATCTACACAACCTGAGAATGCTTCCATATAAATATGATGAATTATGGATTTGTCATTCTTGAGAAGATTTTTAAAGAATTTTCCTATATATTTCTATGTAAAACTTTGGTCGGCCATTGTGGCCCTGCCCTACCCCCAGGGGTCATGATTTGAACAAACTTGAATCTACACTATCTGAGGATGCTTCAATATAAATATGATGAATTATGGCTTTGTCATTCTTGAGAAGAAGATTTTTAAATAATTTTCCTATATAATTTTTATGTAAAACTTTGGTCGGCCATTTTGGCCCGGCCCTACCCCCGGGGGTCATGATTTGAACAAACTTGAATCTACACTACCTGAGGATATTTCCCCATAAGTTTCATCTTTCCTGGCATTGTGGTTCTTCAGAAGAAGATTTTTAAAACATGCCACCAAATTTTCATTAATTCCCAATTATCTCCCCTTGAATGAGGGTGTTGCCCTTCATTTGAACAAACTTGAATCCCCTTCACCCAAGGATGCTTTGTGGCAAGTTTGGTTGAAATTGGCCCAGTGGTTCTTGAGAAGAAGTCGAAAATGTGAAAAGTTTACAGACAGACGTACAGACAGACAGCTAGACAGACAGACGGATGCTGGACAAAATGTGATCAGAAAAGCTCACTTGAGCCTTCGGCTCAGGTGAGCTAAAAATCCACAAGATTTCAATTCTATTCATTCTCAAAAACACAATTTAGAAATTTCAAATTTGATTGTGTCCCTGGGTCAAAAAATTTCAAATCACATCATAATGAACAAACCTGAATGAGGTAGTTTGTCAAAATCCAGAGGAACAGGGGGTCTCCTTTTCTTCCATAAGGTCTCCATTGACAATAGATACTTAATGTCATCCCTGAATAACTGTACATAAAACTTAATGTAAAGTCTTCATTCTTAGTTTTAAGTATACTTTGGGATCATTTTAATTTGTGTGGTGGGGGGTAGGGTCAATAATTGTGGCCAATGAAAATTTTAATGTTTGTGGAAACTTCATTTCATGGATGCCTGTATTTAAAGTAGAAACAATGTACTAAAAATGCTGACAAAATCATGAATCATCAGGATACATTCACATATGTAAGGTTTCCAAACAAAATCCATGAGATCAAGCCCCCACAAAAAAATGTGGATTCCACAGTAAAACATGTTCACTCACACTGCAATATTTATTTTATGCCAAATCCTTTTTTAAAGTTTGATATGACTGTACGATATATTTACCTTATTAAATATCTTCTTTGCATCGTATCCAGTTTCTGATGCCCAGGCTCTTGTGGACTTCCTGTCTATGCCCCCTGCAACATCAGCCTTCTTATCCTGTGTCAGTGCTGTCTGACCTGCCTCAGCTGTTTAATACAACAAGGTTGTACTGGTCAATCTTGTCTATAAAATACAGTACAGTCAACGCGGTTTATGCATTTACCGCGCACCCCCGCGGTGTGAATTTCATCGCGGTTAGTACAGGTGTCTCAGGTAAAAACCGCGTGCCCCCGCGGTTCAGTAATCCAGGTAAATCACACCGTCGCAGTGCATCTTACCTATTACAGGTGAAAAAACAGTCTTTGTCTAAAACGCGAGTTACCTCCCTTTGAAAATATCAACCAAAACAAAATAAAACGAAATTAATGATATTTTAAAATTTATAGTCGTTGAAATATTTGAAGTACAAAATGAAAATTTATTTTTCTTAAAAAATATACTCTCGTGTATCTAAATAATTATAACAATCGTCAAAGCAATTTTCAAATAGCGTTTACTAATTCTTGAACTACCTTTTTTTTTTAAATGTGTTCATTCTATTTATATCCAGGACTTTCGATATAAATTACTGTATGTGATATATTTATACGACAATGCAAGATAAAACACCCAGTGTGCTATTCATGATATTCAGTATTAATTTATATTTTCGTTGCGTTTTTTTTATTTTAATAGTGGATTGATTAAAGAAACGATCTATCGGAGTGTAAATTCAGTGGGACTATAAATGAAAGTGTTTTAAAATTATTAACCTTCAAATATAGGATTATAATACTCAGATTTTTATTTAATCAGCATTCTCCGAGTCGTCTGTAAAGTGTCGTTCCTTTATTCTGAAGCAATGTTCTTGAAATCAGTAGGGTGTGTATGTGTGTGTAATTTGATGGCCTACCAATCCGTAGAAGATAAAATAAAATTACATAATGTCTAGAGCTAGACCTGGTACGCATACTTGGTCCTCACAGCTGTACACTGGACAAGGTGCGATCCCCTGCACCAGCCCTACCCCTGGTGTACACGTGCGTGCGTAAAGCGGGTCAGTAAATTTCATCTGTCGTACATGTTTAACATACTTCACAATGACATTTACATTGATAATATAATTTAATATATATTTGAATTAATTATTTAAATTTACGATATGCAGATTTCCATGATTACTTTCGTGTAAAAAGTCAATTTTGATGTAACAATCATCCCCCCTTCCCCCATATTTACTTGCACTCTATTAATGTGTCTTACACAAAACTCAGCACAATCACAACTTTGGATAGGGGGTTATTTACCCAATATCAGTAGATAGAAGCTAAGTTGATTTAAAAAAATATTGTATTCATGTATGAAAATTCAACCAAAACAGTGCAAAAAAAACTACCATGCTTCTTACTGCAAAATTCTATTCTGACTTTTTACAGCGCGTTAACAATAATTTACTGAAAAAGAAATTCATAAACACCACAAACAATATCGGAACAACATTTTATGTGCATTTTGCATTGGTAAGTAATTTTTTTTGTCCTTGTTAGATCTAGTACATGTATACACAGTGTACGTGTAGCTGCACGGACTAATCGTGGTCTCCTTAGTAACTGGTGGATTCCTGTGTATTGTACGCGTTCAAGCGGAGAGGGATTTCCTGTCTCACAGTGACACTGTACTGGGTATAATTTCACACCTTTGCGGAAGATAAAGGATTTGGATTTTCGCAACATTTTGACAGTTTTGAAATATAAAATCATAAACCGGGTGGATTATAATTTTTGACACCCCCCCCCCCCCGCCCCAAAGATTCCCCTTCTGCCGTCTGCATGAACTTCATTTTTTTTTTTAAACATATGGTTGTATATTTCAAAAACATTAATTTTACATTTAAATTCACAAAGAAGAAAGACTGATCTTAATAAATTTAAATGACTTTCCCTGTATATGCATGGTCTTCTACAAATTCAAAAAATTGGAATGTTAACACCGAGGGCTGTTATATATGTACTGTGTACATGTTCCTACAAAATTACGACAAGCTAAATATTAATGTATTTCATTGCGTAGTTAATCCCATACGTTGACAGGGTAGGCTATAGAGGTGTACATGTAAATGGTAGAAATAATATTAATTCTTTTACATATACATGTATAGCAAAAGGATGATATATCAATTTATTATGAACGAACGTATGCACAACAAAGCACCCCGTTTCATCTTTATATCATTATTATACGGAAAGAAAACTTTAAGCTTTCTCTTATTTTATTTGCACATTGAGAGTTAATTAATTAAGTAACACTCTAAACTGCATACAAATATTTCTACTACTCGGTGTTTTCAGTTAACACGCTATTCTCATGAACATTGTTCGTACTTACAAGAAATTACTTGTATGCTTTCAAGCCGAAATGCGTTGCCGTTTAAAATGAGTTTTGCCGATTTAAAAGAACAAAACAAATAATGATACGAGAGAGAGAGAGAGAGAGAGAGAGAGAGAGAGAGAGAGAGAGAGAGAGATTTACCGCACATTGCCTATAAACATGTTTCAGAATATCTAGCTCTTCCATCCATCGAATATTTATCGAAAATGTATGCGTTTCATTGTGAAAGTGATACACGGTATATAGTCATTAACTGATTAATTTAGAGAAATAAAGTATATGCTTATGCTGAGGATATAATTATTTTTTTTAAAAACATGTTTTAAAAACTAACATATATCAAACATCAGAATAACTTGAAAAAACAATTATACGCTATTTGTTTTTTGTTGGGTTTTTTTTTTTAATTTTTTTGTTTGTTTTTTGTTTGTTTGTTGTTTTTTTTTTAATTCTTCGGGTAGTAGTTACATTGTATAATATTTCTAATAGCACCATTTTTTAAAACTCAAAACCTGCAATTTTACAGATCGACCGAACAATATTCAGTTATAGATATTATACGGCCGTACAGGTAAAATAAATCCGATAAGCCAGTCAACGGTAAGTCACACCGCCGCGGTCCATACCTGGCTACAGGTAGGACCGCGATGAAATAACCGTGGGGGTGTATCGCGGAAAGGATCAAAACACCGCGGGGGGAGCGCGGTTTAATGCCTAATCCGCGTTGACCGTACTGTAACTACCAATATGTATAATACAAATGAATTCTGGGTCCTCTGTCTCACTATACACTGAGATACTCACCTGTTAACTCTGGGTCCTCTGTCTCACTATACACTGAGATACTCACCTGTTAACTCAGGGTCCTCTGTCTCACTACACACTGAGATACTCACCTGTTAACTCTGGGTCCTCTGTCTCACTATACACTGAGATACTCACCTGTTAACTCAGGGTCCTCTGTCTCACTACACACTGAGATACTCACCTGTTAACTCGGGGTCCTCTGTCTCACTACACACTGAGATACTCACCTGCTAACTCTGGGTCCTCTGTCTCACTATACACTGAGATACTCACCTGCTAACTCGGGGTCCTCTGTCTCACTACACACTGAGATACTCACCTGTTAACTCGGGGTCCTCTGTCTCACTACACACTGAGATACTCACCTGCTAACCCTGGGTCCTCTGTCTCACTATACACTGAGATACTCACCTGTTAACTCGGGGTCCTCTGTCTCACTACACACTGAGATACTCACCTGTTAACTCGGGGTCCTCTGTCTCAATATACACTGAGATACTCACCTGTTAACTCAGGGTCCTCTGTCTCACTACACATTGAGATACTGACCTGCTAACTCGGGGTCCTCTGTATCTGGCGAGACATCTTGATCTGGGTCCTCCTCTCCAAACAGCTGACTTTAAAAAAATTGAATTTTATGACTTTCAGCTTTACTATATTATCAGTACAAATCATGTATAACTGTTTAATGATTTCCAATTTACATTAATAAAGAGAATACAGTACATTCACAGTGATTCATTCCTATTTGTAATTGAGATGTCATAATGAGTACTGTATGTTTCACTCTACATGTAATATGTAATACACTTAAACATCTGAACATTTCTAGAACTGGTATACAGGCCAAATACTCACTTAAACAGATGTTTTGCCCATACCACACAGTGGATGGTCTCTGAAGGTGTGTTTCTAATGGTGCATCCTGGGAATGTTTTCTGTGGAGGCTTTGGTTGGCATTCATAACATTCTGTTAAACCCTTTGAAGTAAAGATAGTCTTTATTTAATATTCAGAACCCAGTTATTTATGTTTGAGCTTAATAATATACTTATATGTTTTCTTGAAATTTGCATTTTAGGCGATTAAAAGTTTTTTTCTCTGTTTAGCGTCCACCCATCTTTCACAAAACCTACCTACCTATTCGCAAAAAACACACGAGCCAAAACATAAAACACAGGCTTAAAAGTCATAAAAATGATGCCCTTCAAATGATTTGATCTAACTAAACTGCTTTAATAGAAGAAATATCTATTCTTAAAGCAAAAACAAGAAGCAAAAAAAAAAAAAAAAAAAAAGCAAAAAACATTAAGCAAAAACAAGGGATTAAATTCTTAAATATATCCAATATAACTTACTGTACAGAATTATTTGGAGAAATTGACAAAATTCAAAAATTTCGACTAAATTAAAAAATTTCAGGACTCCTGATGTTGTGTATTTTTTCTTATATAGGGTGTCAAAAACCAAGGCGCACGTGGACGCTAAACAAAGACCAGAAGTCTCTGTCGAGACTGAAGCTCTACTGGTTTTTACTTTAAGCAAAGGAAGAGAAAAGTAGCAGTTGGGAATACAAACTTTACAACAGCAATAAACAGAATCAAAGTACTGAAAGTACTCATGGGAGTTGAACATGGTGATCTGAAAGATCTCACAGGAAGTAGAGGAACATTTTCATGCTTTCAGATTTAAGTCAGCTAGAACTAATTTGTTAGGGATACAACACGAAACATTAAAAATAATTTCAATTGCATTTGAATAGCAAAGATCATGGGACTGTTTTTAAATTAGCTGCTCAACACTCAACAGTATTATGATGTCACAATGAACATAAAAATTGAGAGGCAACGTCATGCAATAAAAATTGCGCCAAAAACACCTGAAAATATTGTGAGAGCAAAAATTGTACTTGTGTTATCAAAATTTTTATCATACAGAATAAAATAATAGAATACGGGGTATATTAAAAAGATGATTTTAAAGTATATATAAATGTATATCTGTAAAAATAAGTATCACAATGTCACAAAAATGTTCATAAATCCAATTCAAAGACAGAAGTGTTTCCTTTTGTTGATACCAAATGGTATATTTGTGTTCAACTTTTTCTTTCAAAGATTTTCTCTATATTTGCGGTAAATGTCATTCTTATACAGTTTTTCAATGCACATTATATTATAATCTTCTACTGTATGTACACCTGAATTTTAATGAGTAGCCACAGGATCATTTGTTTCCCTTCTAATTAAAGACAAATTCAAAACATATCAAAGACTTTAACATAGGTCGCGGGTTTAGAAGGCTTTTGAAAGTGTTCGAAAACATATCATGAAAATTTCCTATTTGATTTCTCTACCTTTGATTTCCATTCTCTGAAAATTTTATAAAATTCGTCTGCACCGTTTTTGTGTAATTGAACTCCAAAGATGTCATTGTTGTAGTTAAATTTTCAACGGTATTCTATTGAATTATATACTGTATAGGGGATTAATTTCACGGGTTGTAATTTTCACGTTTTTCTCTCATCTGACATGATCGCGGTTTCTTGAATTCGCGGAATTGGTTATATATAATAAAATTTACCTCCCTTGTCTTTATCCGTTTAATCCATACCATAGCATGTTAAACGACATCAATCAGCGTTATGTCTTTCTTTCACGAACAGCAGGGTAGGTTAATATAAAAATGTTAGATTTAATATTAATAATTAATTAAAACAAGTGCAGTTATTAACAGTTCTTCACTCTAAACGTCAATTGCAAATGACTTTCCTTTAGATGCTATTACGATGAGTACATGTGCACCCAAGATCTTCAATACAATTAACGCGGCGAAAAACCACTGGACGGAAATAAATGGTTTATGTAGTTCGATGAAATAATATCCTTCCACATCTTCAGTTAGTTCGATATTTATATGAACGATTTTTTAAAACCAAATTGTCGATAAAAACCAATATGCATGATAATACAGGTACCAAATACACGTGGTAACATTAGTAACGCACGGGTAATCAAAACCCATGGCCCACGTGTTTTGATTAAGGAAACATGTAGCGTTGGCTATTAAAACAGCTTTTGAATATCTGCTGATTTGAATTAAAGTAAAGCGTGATAATTAAAATAACTGAATGACAAGTACTACTCGTAATTACTGAAATGGCCATGTACTGCATGTACATGCACATCAACCTATCGTAGTCTATTCTCAAATTTCCAAATAAAACATGGAGATCATTGAAAATTTATTCACTGTTTCTTGAATTCACGGATTTATTAACACCGTGAATATAGCGAATATTTACACCGCGAGTTATTTTCCCCCTGTACAGTAGGAAAAACGTCGTTTTTGGCTTGTTTTCAGGCAAGGTTTTGATTAAAAAAGTATCAATAACTTTTAAATCGTGCAGACGAATTTGTTTATCCTTTGGTATTTAAAAATAGAATTGATTTGAAATAAATCTATGTGAAAAAAAATAATATGTCTTCGGGTTCATTTTCTCGTAATTTAATTGTAGATAATTGCTTTTATATTGAAAAATGTAGCATTTTTAAGAACAACGTCATAAAATGTCGCGACGTCACGCGTGACGTCGTGAATATCGATCCGGTATACAGAGCAAAAACAAAAATCACACAGATTTTAAGAAAGAGGAAATTCACGTATATCTGCTTTCAAATGACCAGTATCATAATAATTCAATAAAATAATTATTACACATTTTTCTCTTTAAGCTTATTACGTCTAATATTAGTGAAAATTCGCGTAAAAGGCGTAAACCAACAACCAGTCCTTTAGTTTCTCTTTTTATTTTCTTTAATGTGTTTATTTCTTAATGTTTCTTTTTCCCTTGTTTTGATTTTCTTCATTCGCCGATTCTCGCCGGAATTTGCAAAATAATAGTGTCCTTGTATTTACCTTCTGGAAAAGGCAGATCCCCCATCCCCGTTGAAATCGTAGATCTGTGATCTAAGTTTGTTTGAAAAGTCATAGGTATGAAGATAATTTATAAGTCAAGGACTACTAACCCCCACCCCCCCTGAAATATGTTTTTTACGCTTTCAATTTATATATCCTTTTCTTTGGAAAATTCAGCAAGGCTATCAAATCAACAATAACTTCTTATGAATCAATATCCGCCAGATAATATCCTCCCGAGTGTAAGTATTAATTAATGCATTCAGTCTATATATTGAAAATGTTTTTATTTAAGCTTACAACAAGAGGCAGCAAATAACTAAAATAAATCTTAACTTGATTTTATTTTATGCTTATACGTATAAGGATAGAAAACAAGAGGCCCATGGGCCTTATAGGTCACCTGAGCATTATTCAAAAACTCTCCAGTGATTGAATTTGATCCATGTTTTAAGCCAGATGCTATAGCATTTACAATTTGGTCATCATAACTATACATTTAGCAGTTCCTTAGTTTGGTTACTTTATACCCATAGGCAGGATAGGGGAACAACAAATGCATTTCAACTAAGTAATATTCAGCAATAATCAGTAGTGCCACTACCACACATGAACCCTTGACTCTTAGGCCTAGATCCTCACATTGCACTATTTTTGGAAAGGCATCCTTGCTTTTCAAAAATATTTGATTAATACCAAGGAGCACATTTCAAACAATTCATTCATTTTCAGTATATAAGTACAGCCCCCCCCCCCCTCTATGGTACAACTGACCCTGGGGCCTTGAAATTTTCAATTCTTGAAGATTAAGGAATACTCATAACTGTATAGGTAGTTCATATGCTTAAAACCTAGGAGCAAAGAAGAAAATATTCAAAGATTTAATGTTTTTTCACTATACATGTATAATCAATACAGCCCCGCCCTAACACCAGAATCCTTGACCCTGGGGCCATAAAATTCACAATTTTGGTAGAGGCACTCTTGCTCATCATAACTATGTACTTAGTTAGTTTATTTAAAACCTAGGAGCAGAGAAGAAGATTTTCAAAGAATTCAGGTATTTTCACTATATAATCAAAAGAGCCCCACCCTAACACCAGAATCCCTGACCCTGGGGCCATAAAATTCACAATTTTGGTAGAGGCACTCTTGCTCATCATAACTATGTACTTAGTTAGTTTATATAAAACCTAGGAGCAGAGAAGAAGATTTTCAAAGAATTCAGGTATTTTCACTATATAATCAATAGAGCCCCACCCTAAAACCAGAACCCCTGACCCTGGGGCCATAAAATTCACAATTTTGGTAGAGGCACTCTTGCTCATCATAACTATGTACTTAGTTAGTTTATATAAAACCTAGGAGCAGAGAAGAAGATTTTCAAAGAATTCAGGTATTTTCACTATATAATCAATAGAGCCCCGCCCTGACACCAGAACCCCTGACCCTGGGGCCATAAAATTCACAATTTTGGTAGAGGCACTCTTGCTCATCATAACTATGTACTTAGCTAGTTTATTTAATACCCAGGAGCAGAGAAGAAGATTTTCAAAGAATCCATGTCTTTTCTCTATATAATCAATAGAGCCCCGCCCTGACACCAGAACCCCTGACCCTGGGGCCATAAAATTCACAATTTTGGTAGAGGCACTCTTGCTCATCATAACTATGTACTTAGCTAGTTTATTTAATACCCAGGAGCAGAGAAGAAGATTTTCAAAGAATTCATGTCTTTTCTCTATATAATCAATAGAGCCCCGCCCTAACACCAGAACCCCTGACCCTGGGGCCATAAAATTCACAATTTTGGTAGAGGCACTCTTGCTCATCATAACTATGTACTTAGTTAGTTTATTTAATATTCAGGAGCAGAGAAGATGATTTTCAAAGAAATAATGCATTTTCACTATATACTTATTTAGCCCCGCCCTAGCACAAGAACCCCTGACCCAAGGGCCATGAATTTCACAATTTTGGTAAAGGACTCAATGCTGATTACAATCATGCAAACAGTTTGACTGCTTGATGTCCAAGAGTAAAGAAGAAGATTTTTAAAGATTGCATTAATTGTAGTGGTTTTGGCCTCACCCCCCAGGCCCCAGGGGGGCAGGGATCATGAAATTCACAATTTTTGTTCCCCTTCACCCATAGATGCTTTGTGCCAAATTTGGTTGAAATTGGTTCAGTGGTTGCAGAGAAGAAGCTGAAAATGTTCAAAAGTTTACGACCGATTGACGACGAACGACGTACGACGGACGACGACGGACAAAAACAGATAGCAATAGGTCACCTGAGTGACTCAGGTGACCTAAAAAGTGGAATTTTTAGTGGAGTAAATGGGAGGATGACTTAAACATTATTTTTATTTGGCGTAATCAAAAGGCAGATTTTATTTTGTTCTTAGACTTTCAATGTATACATATTACATTGATTCTACTGAATGAACATGGAAAGCAATGCAGCGAATAAAATATGTACATGTAACTAACAACAATGCATGCCATTACTTACAAAGGCAATTGGGGTACATGTATCGAACCCCCCCCCCCCTTTCTGTTTTTCTGGGGTTTTCCTATTTGGATGTTTAATATGTATTGCATGTTATTAATAATGTTACCCTTTTATCTCTTTACGCTGTTTTTAAATACATGTATTTCGCTTTCGACTGATACATAAAAAGAGACGGCTTGCAATTTGTTTTTATTCTCGATGTTTGCCTCAGTTAATCTTCACTTGATCACTATCTAAAGCTTAGAGAATCATGGAATATGCAGACATCGATAAATTTGAAACACGCTCTTCTTCCTTTTCAGATTTCCATTTATATAATTCTTTATGTGCCTCCGATTAGTAAATATTTCGATTAAATCAACATGCACATATAGGGTGAAGTTAAAATTCAAAAATAGGAAAAAGTTTACTCACCCCCGGCATTAGCAAGTAAAAAATGGAAAGGAGGGAGGGGGTCATATCGTACTTGCCTGTGGTTATTTACAAGAGGTCAATGCCGCTCAAAAATGTATTAGTTTATGTTTCATTAGTATTACCTCGGTAGTGCCTTAGCAGTTTTTAATTTGTGATCAACCTGTATCTCGATTTGTCCGAGATTAGCACATATACCGCTTCATAACTGAGTTCGACTTTCCATTGGTGCATGAGCAGAGTTTTGGCGCTGTTTACGGAGATAAATGAGAACAAAGACATGCATGCCACATCTATGGTTATGTAGATAAATTATTGTAGAAGACAGTGGTAATAAACAGTTTGTTAGCGCATTTCCACTAAAAGTGTAAATGAGTGCTTTTCTGAGGAGGGAGTACCGAGTGTAATTCGGAGTTAGATAACCTGTTTTATAATCATACTCATTTAATATTTATTAATCATATATATGATACAAGGGTTAAAATTTATTTGCAAAACAAGTACATATGTGCTCTCAGAATAGACCCGAGAAAATGCGATTGATAAAACATAATGAAACGCTTTCTAATACTTTCAGTGATGGTCAACGAATCAAAATGAGCCTTCATTATTTTTGATAACTTCAGCATGTTCTATGTATACTGTTACACTAAAATGCCATTTTCAACAAAAGTTATAGCCAGATAATGTACTGAATTTTCCCTTTCTCACCGTGACGTCATAATCAGATGTGCACAAGAAAGTCGCCCAAATCATATAGATTGCGTACCCAGTTTTAATGACGTCAGCAAACCCGCGACCTACGTTAAAATCATCTTCTAACTGGCTATGGAGATATACTATGCATCAAGATTACTTGGTTTTTAATGTCAAAATAGATTCAGAGAGAAAAGGGATGCACAGTTAATGTCAATTTGTAGTCAAGAGTGTAAAAATCAATCATGTCAAATAATGACGTTGATCATGTTTTTTAGCCAAATTGAACTCCAAAAAACAAATGCTGGCACAATCAAGCGAGGATATCCCCCAATGTATAAATTCATTTGCAATAATATATGCCTTGAAAGCTGCTGTACATGACATTATAAAGTTATATAAACAAGACGGATTGAATTACTTACTCAGCTCTAGAGAATCTCCTCAAAATAAGTGTACCAGGTAGAGGAAGCCGATATTGAAAAATTATGACGTTGTCGGACGTCATGAAACTAAACAGCGCCGGCGCCGGGTGATCATATAATGTCATTTCTATTTTATAATAATTTGGGAAATAATGAACGTATCAAGCTAAAATTTTTAATATTTCTTTATTTTTTGTTGTTTTATGTACCTTATAAATTTTGTAAGCTCAGACAACATAGTACTAATTTTATAGCCTCAGTCCACGAACTTTTTGATAACCCCACATATATATATAAAACCAGAAGTCTCTGTCGAGACTGAAGCTCTACTGGTTTGAACTTATAGCAAAGGAAGAGAAAGTACTTAAGCAGCTGGGATTTGAAACTCTATAAACAGCATTAAATAGAATAATGATCGTTGATAAAGTCTCTTTATGTTCTTAGTGTAGTCTACTTGTGTGCCAAGTTATACTGAAATCAGACCAAAACTGTAGGAGGAGTAGCATTTTGAAACAATTTTACAGACATTTCTATTTTTAGTAACCACGGCAACACCATTCATCAAAATTAAATTCGATAAACAGAATTATGTATCTTAGTGTATTCTACTTGTGTGCCAAGTTATATTGAAATCAGACCAAAACTGTAGGAGGAGTAGCATTTTGAAACAATTTTACAGATATTTCTATTTTTAGTAACCACGACAACACCATTCATCGAAATCAAAAACCGATATACAGAATTATGTATCTTAGTGTATTCTACTTGTTTGCCAAGTTATATTGAATTCAGACCAAAACTGTAGGAGGAGTAGCATTTTGAAAGAATTTCACAGAAATTTCTATTTTTAGTAACCACGGCAACACCGTTCATCGAAATCAAAAACCGATGCACAAAATTATGTATCTTAGTGTAGTCTACTTGTGTGCCAAGTTATACTGAAATCAGACCAAAACTGTAGGAGGAGTAGCATTTTGAAACAATTTTACAGAAATTTCTATTTTTAGTAACCACGGCAACATTGTTCATCGAAATCAAAAACCGATATACAGTATTATGTATCTTAGTGTAGTCTACTTGTGTGCCAAGTTATACTGAAATCAGATCAAAACTGTAGGATGAGTAGCATTTTGAAAGAATTTCACAGAAATTTCTATTTTTAGTAACCACGGCAACACCGTTCATCGAAATCAAAAACCGATATACAGAATTATGTATCTTAGTGTAGTCTACTTGTTTGCCAACTTATACTGAAATCAGATCAAAACTGTAGGAGGAGTAGCATTTTGAAAGAATTTCACAGAAATTTCTATTTTTAGTAACCACGGCAACACCGTTCATCGAAATCAAAAACCGATAATCAGAATTATGTATCTTAACGTAGTCTACTTGTGTGCCAAGTTATACTGAAATCAGACCAAAACTGTAGGAGGAGTAGCATTTTGAAAGAATTTCACAGAAATTTCTATTTTTAGTAACCACGGCAACACCGTTCATCGAAATCAAAAACCGATACACAGAATTATGTATCTTAGTGTATTCTACTTGTTTGCCAACTTATACTGAAATCAGATCAAAACTGTAGGAGGAGTAGCATTTTGAAAGAATTTCACAGAAATTTCTATTTTTAGTAACCACGGCAACACCGTTCATCGAAATCAAAAACCGATATACAGAATTATGTATCTTAGTGTAGTCTACTTGTGTGCCAAGTTATACTGAAATCAGACCAAAACTGTAGGAGGAGCAGCATTTTGAAAGAATTTCACAGAAATTTCTATTTTTAGTAACCACGGCAACACCGTTCATCGAAATTAAAAACCGATACACAGAATTATGTATCTTAGTGTAGTCTACTTGTGTGCTAAGTTATATTGAAATTAGACCAAAACTGTAGGAGGAGTAGCATTTTGAAAAATTGTTTACAGACAGACGGACGGACGCCGGACGCATTACTATCGCATAAGCTCTTCTGGTCTCTGACCAGTAGAGCTAAAAAAACTTGGAAAGGCCTTATGTTGTTGCTCTATAGAAATTGAAATATGGCGGTCACCTTTTTGATGACTGTCACTTGTCCGAGGTAACCGGCTGTCCCGCTCTCTATCAGGGGTATGTCTGCAGCCAGACACATTCTGTTAACATGGTTTCTGGCAGCTGTCAATGCCCAAGAGGAAAACTTAACAAGAAATTTTTTTAAACATTTCTGCAATACATCACACACAACAGAACTTTGGTATTTCAAACATTATCTGGAATACTAAGGAATTACTTTAATTCATGGGGGTCAATGTTTGTAGGTAAGCAAAAGTTTGTTGGTTGTGGGAATGTAGTTTTGTGGGTAACTGGTATATTCAGATGGTTCATTGAATAAAGTATACTGTCTGTAAAATTGTTCATGGGGATGTAAATTCGTGGATAAGGGTGACCGTCAAATTCTACACACACTGCATGTTCCTACACAACATTACTGATTCCACGGTATCAGGGATGTGTCAAAGTCAACTGGATGTTTCAGGATACGGTATAGTTCATTTACATTGTTATAACGAAAATTGGACTTCATAATTTAACATAAAGAATTCTTGAACAAGTGAGATAAATAGATGAATAGGATGTTAGGTTTTAATCAGTTAAAAATGTTTTTTTTTTTATATCTCAGTATTTGAGCCGTTGGCTTCCCAAAAAGTATTTGAAGTACATACCTCTGTTGTCCAAGGCATTCATGACCATGTCAAATTTCTTGAAGAAATCAACACCATAATCAGAGCTAAAAGATGAATATTTTAGCTATAAAAATTTCCAAAAGATAACGTTTTAGGACAAACTTTAAACTTAGTAAACTGTAATGGATCATGATGGATGGAAAGTTTAACAAGAGGCCCATGGGCCACATCGCTCACCTGAGCACTGTGGCTAGGAAAAAGTAGCAATTGGTTTATTATTGAAAAGTTTAAATCCAAAAATAGTCCCATGACCAATCATGGCTTTGCTATTCTTGAGAAGATGATTTTTAAAGAATTTTCCCATATATTTCTATGTAAAACTGTGGTCGGTTATTTTGGCTCCGCCCTACCCCCTGGGGTCATGATTTGAAAAAACTTGAATCTACACTAGCTGAGGATACTGCCATATAAATATGATCAATTGTGGCTTTGCTATTATTGAGAAGAAGATTTTTAAAAGAATCTCCCTATATATTTCTATGTAAAATTGTGGTCTGCCATTGTGGCCCCGCCCTACCCCCGGGGGTCATGATTTGAACAAACTTGAATCTACACTACCTTAGGATGCTTCCATATAAATATGATCAGATATGGCTTTGCTATTCTTGAGAAGAAGATTTTTAAAGAATTTTCCTGTATATTTTTATGTAAAACTGTGGTCGTCCATTTTGGCCCCACCCTACCCCCAGGGGTCATGATTTGAACAAACTTGAATCTACACTACCTGAGGATGCTTCCATATAAATATGATCAATCATGGCTTTGCTATTCTTGAGAAGAGGATGGCTTTAAAGAATTTACCTATATATTTCTATGTAAAATTGTGGTCTGCCATTGTGGCCCCGCCCTACCCCCGAGGGTCATGATTTGAACAAACTTGAATCTACACTACCTGAGGATGCTTCCATATAAATATGATCAATTACGGCTTTGCTATTTTTGAGAAGAAGATTTTTAAAGAATTTTCCTATATATTTCTATGTAAAACTTTGGTCGGCCATTTTGGCCTCGCCCTACCCCCAGGAGTCATGATTTGAACAAACTTGAATCTACACTACCTTTGGATGCTTACATATAAATATAATCATTAATGCCTTTGCTATTCTTGAGAAGAAGATTTTTAAAGAATTTTCCTATATATTTCTATGTAGAACTGTGGTCGGCCATTTTGGCCCCGCCCTACCCCGGGGGTCATGATTTGAACAAACTTGAATCTACACCACCTGAGGATGCTTCCATATAAATATGTTCAATTATGGCTTTGTTATTCTTGAGAAGAAGATTTTTAAAGAATTTTCCTTAAATTTTCTATGTAAAACTTTGGTCGGCCATTTTGGCCCCGCCCTACCCCCGGGGGTAATGATTTGAACAAACTTGAATCTACACTACCTGAGGATGTTTCCACAAAAGTTTCATCTTTCCTGGCACAGTGGTTCTTGAGAAGAAGATTTTTAAAACATACCACCAAATTTTCATTAATTCCCAATTATCTCCCCTTGAATGAGGGCGTGGCCCTTCATTTGAACAAACTTGAATCCCCTTCACCCAAGGATGCTTTGTGGCAAGTTTGGTTGAAATTAGCCCAGCGGTTCTTGAGAAGAAGTCGAAAATGTGAAAAGTTTACAGACGGACAGACAGACGGACGACGGACAAAATGTGATCAGAAAAGCTCACTTGAGCTTTCAGCTCAGGTGAGCTAAAAATTGTAATAAATACGAGGGCCGTTCAAAAATTACGCGGACTTGTTGCACAGAAGAAATATTTGACGACACAATCGGGCAAAATTTCACAAATAATATAAAAGAATCTTTACTTATATGGTCTTCAAATTTTCATATCAAAATGTTGTAAATTGGTATTAATTTTGATTGATTTTTCAGGACATACCATTAAGTCACGGCGCAGCAAAATCTTCGACGTCACAAGCATTATAAAAAATATGTGATTGAGCTTTCATTTTCTCAACATTTTCCCATGAGTACCTACACAGTTTGAGTTACCTTATCTACTCAACATCCAAAAACCATTTCCTGTGAAGCTTAAAATCTATTAAACAAGTAAAGAATATTCTTTTTTTTAACCCAAAACTGCTTATGAGATATAGTGTGATATTGATGACTCTCAATCACGTTCTTTACAGTCCGGATAAAGTTAACTTTTCGTCTATAATCTTCTTCCCGTCCTCCCGTATAGCCTTTTTACAGAGGTCTAACTGTCTAAAATTTCAATTTTCTATGTGTGGGCGAATGTCACGAGTAGCCTAGTTTACTACGTTTTATTATGCATATTTTGGATCTATGTTGCCGATATCTCGAGCATTACACATATTTTAACAAAAGTGTGGTGCGCCGTCAATATAGGAGACGTCATTTTCACAGTCGTTTTCACGGGAATCGCATCAGAGAAAAATCACTATATTTCTGTTAGTACTTCAAATATTACGTCCGAAATCTAAATACATAATAATAGAACAATTTAAAGGTACATTTCAGAAAATTGTTGAAAAATATCGCGAATTTTAGAAAATCAATGAGTTAAATTTTTGAATCCGCATGCTTTTGCTTCAATTTTTTTGTCACGCGCCGTACCTCTCCATCAACCATATCAACATACCGATAATTTTAGTAGAATTTTTTTAAAATACAGAAATTTTGCCCAAAATTTATTGGGTATCTTTAAGATACATATTTCTATGAAATTTTATAACTATATGACGTCTGTAATAGTAAATAATAGCACAGTCCGCGTAATTTTTGAACAACCCTCATATAAAGTAGGCAAAACATCACTTGATTCATCAATATATTCAAGGCTTAATAAGTGATATTTCTCATTAAAGTGAAAATTTTTTAAGGATTAACAAGTGTCACAAGAAAAGGCAATATTACCTCATTATACTGTCATGATATGCCACAATTTTTGCATTGGGATTGAAGCTCATAGCACTCTCTTTTGCAACCTATTGTAAAAATATGGTAATTCAAAATGGATGATTTATAAATGATTCAACATGTTAAATATTACTGGAATTTATACACACACTGAGTAGTAAAAAATGCTGATTCTTCTGTCTGAGATATGACTGAAGCCTCGTAATAAAGTCAAACTGGAAAACCCACATTAAGTATCATATTAGCATGCTAAAATTCATATCAAACCTCAAGTAATGTTTTAAAAAGTTGAACTAAACTGAGAAGCTATGTTTATATTTCCAATGTCTTTATTTCTTTACCTGAGCTTTTGATTTTCCAACATGTTCCTTCCGAAATAAGAACTGTCTGTTTAAATTGCTGACATCAATTGTGTCTAAATCAATCTACAAACGATAAAAATGTATTATAGGTATCTGATTAAATGTACATTTTGTATTGCATGGTATTTCAACTTCATATTGAAAATACTGAATTATTCTAATATCAGTATATATGGTACAGCAGTACAGTATGCCTTTTCTTTTGTTAATGTTTATATAATTATAAGACTGATCACCAAATGGGATCTTAAGGTTAATTTCATGGACCTATATAGACTACATCTGACTTATGCATGAACACCTGACACTCATGACTTGTATATGAGTATATTACATTATGACTATTGAAAATGAAATACAGTCAAACTTCGTTATCTCAAACCTGATGGGACTAAGAAAAAACTAGGGATGGGTATCACCAAAAATTCTGTATCGCGATATATCACGATTTTCCCCCCAAATTATCACTATAATATCTTGATATTTTTACAAGCAATTTTTACAATGACTTTAAATGAATAGTCTTTTTTTCCTTAAAAATATACCAGAAAAACAAAATTTCACTTTTTTGAAATTTTCATGTACTGTACATTAAATTAATCATGTTTGGATGGTAAGATGCCATTCTTTTCACCTTTTATAACATTTTTTTAGACTTACTGTAATTGTAATTTGAAAGATTGAACAAATAAATAAATAATTTCTGGACTTTATAATGTGTACCTAAATACCGGTATTGAGGTCTCCGTATCACGATACATATCACGCAATAAAAAATCGCGATATATCGGTATACTGATAAAATCGCACATCCCTAGAAAAAACTTCGAGATATCAGAGGATTCGAGATATCGAAGGTAAAATACTTTAAGAATTTGAGGTCGGGACTTCTAAATCACTTCGACATATCCATGGTATTCGAGATATCGAAGTTCGAGATGTCGAAGTTCAACTGTTCTACACTGTGGGAATCAGAATTTTTTTTATCAGGGAAAGTGATACCAGGTCGATATTTTAGCCAATAAGGTGTACTACATGTTTTTACCAAATATATGAAGCTATTTCTTATTTCCCAGTACTTCTCGGGAAATACCGTCCTGGAAAATGAGTATTTCCCACTTTTACGCCAACCCTGAAGACTGTGCATCATTTCAAGGATTTACAACGTCATTACATTTAATACTTTTTTAATAATGAAAAGAACAAGGGTCTTTTTTGGCCTTGTGAATTTCTGATAAAGTGAAATGAATTACATTTAGCTGTCAGACAATGCTTAAAATATCTTTTAGACCCTTGGATTACTGTGTATCTATAAAAAATTTAATACATAAGTTTTGGGCTAGTCATTGCATTACTAGTGAATTAGTGAATGGCATTATTTTCTTTATATCTGTGATAACTGTGTATCTATAGATATTAAAAAATTTTTAAAAACTGTCAGTCTAGTCATTGCATTAGCATGCCAAGAATGGCATTATTATTCCGCATATCTTGAAAAGTGGCCAATTTTAAAGTATCTGTGTGTTTCTTATAGGAGTGGCCTGAAGTACCACTCATCAATGCAGCACCTGGGTGAAGAGAAAATTCAGACTTTGGATATTGATCCAATTGATTTTTTTCCTCGCAGTTACATAAAGTGCCACATTCATTAGAGAAATGCATTTTGTCACAAACTAGGTTCTCATGGTAACAAGAAATTCCAAGAAAAAAATAAGCTCACCTTGATTTTAAATTTTAGCATATTAAAAATAGATTAAACATTATTGATTAAAATTACCACTGTGCAGACTTAGGTTTGGTAATGCAACATATAATTACATCATGTGACGTCAGAGTCTAGATGTAACTAATGTCACTTGCGCAGGGTTTAAACTTAACTGAAATTTCCACGAGCCATGTGGGCTCCTGACATTTCAAATTTAGTAGCCCACTGCTAAATTTGTTAGCCCACAGTCTCTGTGATTTTTTTAAAAAGCATAGATACTGGGACAAAAAGTAGATACAAATGAAATTTATATATAAATTCATCTGTTTAAAATTGGAGTTCTTACTTTATAAAAATCAGATGTCATATAAATATTTAATCAAAGGAAATAAAATTGTATTCAATAAACATTTTTTACGATTTTTACTTGGTAATACATGTATATAAATACGTAGCCCTGGTACATGTCTTCAACTGATAAATTGACAATGACACAATAAAATTTTCTAGGTTAAATATTTTAACTACAACATATCTGAAATAGGTGAAAACACTTACTATTCATATGACTGAGTAGTTGGGAGTTATTAAAATTGTATATCTCTCACGTATCAACCATTTACAGAGGGTTGGAGGAAATTCGGATTAGGAAAAAAGACGATCGTTTTAGGGAATTTCACAAATCGTTTAGTACTTTGAATGGAAAAGATGAAGGATATTTACGAACAATAGGGCCATACTGCTGTGATTTATTTCATTTTTCTGTAGTTTTAAATCAAAAACCTGCATAAAATGTCTGTTTTTCAGTAAGGGGACTGGGAATGAATTCGGCTCCCTGCAGAATTTTTATTCGCCACGTGGGCGAGCAACTTACAAATTTTATGAGCCCACACCAATTTTTACTCGCAATTTGCGAGTGGGCGAGCGTTAATTTTAAACCCTGCTTGCGGTTTGACAAGCCCGCTCTAACATAAAACTGTGCCCGCCCTAACGGTCGCACCTTCAACATATTAAAGCAATGTTAAAAGAAAATATTCTTCCTGTTGTTGACAAGTTTCATAAGTAGAAAATATCACAATGTAACAGGTCCAGTACAATCTCTTGATTTAGCTATATAGCTTTAAATAGCTATATAGCTTTATTAAGCTATTCAGTATAGCTTAATTTAGCTATTTTACTACACTTTTTTCTTAAAGGTGTAATTTTCTCAGTATGTACAAAAAAGCGCACCTTGGTGCAGTGACGATATACAACTTTGAAATCTTCTTAAAATAGTGCATGTAAAAATCACTCATCAAATTACGTCTCCTTGAGAGACTTTGTACTCAAAGTTCTACAAGTTTTGGGGCTATATAAAGCAATTGATACAGTTACTTCTGCAGTGATATTATAATGGAGACCAATTATGTTCAACAAGATAATTGATTGGTAACAGTTCAGCACAATGAGAAGCAATCATACTTATCCTTGCCTCAAGGCACCCAAGGTAGTGGACAGTTAGACTAACAATAGAAATTTTCTTTTTGCTTAAAAGTATTCAAAAGCTGCAAAGTAAGAACTATCTTTGATTTAGGTTGTTGTTTTGATAGCCCATGGTACAAATACGTAGAGTCAGATACATGCGACTTTTTGTTTATTTTCAGCAAAAAACATTTTTGTGAAAAACTGTACATAAATAGCTAAATAAAGCTATTTTGAATAGCTTAATAAAGCTATCTAGCTATTTAAAGCTATATAGCTAAATCAAGATATTGTACTGGAACTGTGCAAGGTAATTTAAGGGGGATGTCCGGCCACCCTTAGTGCAGTAAGAACAAAATGTAAACATTTCTTCAAATGGCTAAAATACATTATATTTTGATCAAATTTTAAGTCCTAATGATAAAGATACAATAAATATGCATAACTGAATGCATATTGTGCATGTATAATCTATACTCATGCAGAAAAATGCTTTTGATATGCTCTTTAGAACTGCGCAGCTACAGAATTCAGCAGAGCCTTAAAAAATCCAAAAAATATGCAAAGCGTGCATTAATATTCTCTCTACAACCATTTGTTGAGAAAATGTCTAAATTTTGCACTTTTCAATGGTAATTTCAAGTTCAAAACATGGTACTGTTGTCTTCAAAATGAGTGTAAAAAACCATGAAAGTAGTTCATGGATAGCAGCACGTGGTCTATTTTTAGCACAGAATTTTGTTTTCCAGACCTCTTCTTAATACGGAGGCACATAATAATCTTAAAAAGTGGAATAGAATTACAGTTGCAAAATGTTTCAAATGATAAGCACACTTTGAAATGAGGAAATGTGTTATAGTGTGGCTTAAAGTAATTAGTATTATTATCAAACAGTTGTTAAATACTTGTTGGTATAAAAAAAATTCTTAAACTCTTTGATTCCAGATAAGGAAAAATGAGCGCCATCAAATTTAAAAAGTCTGCCACAGATAACTTATTTTATCTATCAAATGAAACACAGAGAAAATTGGATCAGTCGGCATGGGATGCTCACTCCTCCATAGCACCTGATCCCACCTATGATGTTTCGGGGTCCGTGTTTGCTCTGTTCTTATTTTGTATTGTTTTATGGACTTTGAGACTGAATACTGTTTGTTATCTCCCTATATTCCTTCTAAACACAAAATCGATATGAATGACCTTGTTTTAGTACCTACTAGTATACTGTGTCAAAAAACATTTACAAATTTATTCACATGCATCGAAGTACCATTTGAATAGGAATGAAATCATTCAGCGTGGGTTAGGAGATTTACTGAATGAAAAATACTTTTTTTTCTATTTGCCCATATTGTCAAAATTACAATTTTACAGAGTAAAGAAAAAAAATCAACATGATTAATTATTTTAGACCATCTTTAAAATGACGCTTGATGGTCCTCCCAACTCAGGGGAAAATTATTGGGTCCGTATTTATAGGTGAGAAAAAAAAAATCTTCCTCAAAATTTAAACATATTTGTTGACGAAAAAAAAGGAAAAAAATATCTTGTAATGGAATGTAAACAAAAAAATTGAGTCGGGTCATTTCTGGAAGTAGGTCGGGAGAAAGGGCAACCAAATATTTTTATAAAACGTGGTCTTAACAATATACGGCTATAGTACATGTTCCATCACATACTTAGTAATGCAAAATTTCTGAAGCATTGGCACTATTCTGAAAAACAAACATAGGGTTTTCGGGGGGGGGGGGGGGGGGGGGGGGGGGTAGCCTCTCACGCTTTTTTTTGCGAAGATAGGCATAGCATAATGCAATGAACCTTTCTTTGTAAACATTGTGCTCGCTTCTAAATTTCAAAGAAACAACTCAATGTATTTTCCCAAACTTCGTATGTTAATGAGAGCTTACAACATGGTCAACATAATGAGACGTGATGTGTTTTTATGTCCAAACATTACTCCATACAATGTGTGGGTCATCGCAAACAATCTAGCTATTTATGTGAGGTGTCTGAAGGAAATCCTATAACTGACTATTTTTTCTATCTAACTGCTAAAAAACATTGACAGGTGTACCAACTTTTCGAATGTAATACATTTAATTACAATTTGTTTTTCATGCACGGCATATCGTTTAACATTTTCAAATTAAAAGCTAAGTATCCTCCTTGCAGAGCCCCATTTGAAAATAACTTCTATCGCCAGAGAAAAGAGACCGGCCGTAAACACATATGTTTAGGACATTTTTAATCTTTTTTCTTGAGTTTTGGAGAAACCAACAAATTATAAAGACTTGTTCCATGAAAAATTAAATATAATCATGGTAATAAACGAATCTATTCACATTAGATATATGCACATGCCAACCACGTGCTCAGTGGAATAATATGAGCGAGGAAACTCGAGCTTTAAACAGAACAGTTTTTCCCGATTTGCTGGTTTGGGGTTAAAATTGCATTTTTTCATTAATAATTTCAAATAATAATTTTCACAAATATAGTTATATAACCTTAGGATTATTACTTAGTAATTTCTTGTTTTGATGTTGTTATGGTCGCATTTATTCTAAATTCAATGTTTTTTTTTAACTCTGTGTGACAGAGGAATGGCGGACGCAATAAACATATGACCTCAAGAAGACCCCCATATGAAAAATGAAATTTACAAGAATTATGGATAATAACAAGAAAAAAGCGAAACAAATGGTTGTAGCCATATTATCAATGAACCGAACTGACATCATTTTCGATGCATTTATCATCTCGTGAATGCTGTAGCTGCGCAGTTCTAACCTGATTAATTTCCTTCTAATTAAAACAAAATAAACTTAATTATTTACTAATTTTGGTCTCTAACAGTAGGTTATGAGTACATTAGCACTTTGAGTAACTTTGGGCTAGTTTGGTAGAGTATTAAGAGCATTCTTGGTATTTCTTATTTTACACCAGACTTGATCAAATATGGCTTGTACATCCCCCTTAAGGATATTGCGAATAATTATTTGATGATATTGCAAATAATTATTTGAAGCAAGGACCTTTATACTAACAGGATAGTATAAAGGTCCCTTTTAGAAACTTATATACAATCTTTTGTTTCAGTGTAAACTACACACTTTACAGCAATACTAAATTTAATGACTTATGAATATTACTCTAAGATAGTGAATTACCACCGCTATATCTTGAAACCCTGTAAGAACTAAGTTCTTTAACAATTCACAGCCAATTCCACCAGCTCCTACAACAAGTAACTTGCAAGAAAGGACGTTTTTGCTTGTTGTTTCACCCAGCACACCTAAACTTGCCGCCATTGCTCTTGAATAATGGAATCTCGACCCCGACTCGTTATATGAAGAAAAAGCCCAAACCCAGCTTAAATGACGATAAATATCAGTAAATAAATAAATAAATAAAGAAAGAAATAAACCCTAAAAGTTTCTTTGAAAATGTTATACACCTAGAGATCTAACACAATCTAACTTGGCTGGCGAGATGGCGCGAATCACTGCACGACTTCCCTGTAGATGTCTCCTCAGAAGGTTATTAAACAGACACAATATACATGCAGATGTTGAAAATTTTTTACTCTTTTATCTAGATCTTAGTTTTTCCTAAATCATACGAATGTAGGCTAGGCTAATATTAATTTATCAAACGTAGCGATGCCCGTTCACGTCATTTGATGACGTAATAATAACGTTACGTTATATACCTATTCAGACGTTGTTCGAAATTACAAGAAATATCGTGCAGTTGCTCTTTTTTTTAACTTTTAGAGGGAAACATTGGCAAATTATTTTCTGAAAATAGGCGTTAGGAAGCATGGAGTTCGAACCCCATCTTCCAAATTCGGATGGACATATAATCCGATTTCCAGTAAAGCTGAGAAGGATCATTGATACATGTGGATCAGGAGCCATAAAGTGGAACCATGATGGAACAATCATAAGAATCAACAAGACATTGTTTGAAACTGAGTACCTAACTAAAGACCATAGACCATTCCAAACGACCAGTTTCAGCAGTTTTATACGTCAGTTGAACTTTTACGGATTTCAGAAAGTCAACCAAAGAACCTTTGCCAAGGGCAGTGAGAATGTGGATTCAAACGTGTTTGATTACAGACATCCACATTTCAGAAAAAATAACGCAGATCTGTCCCTGGTTCAGAGAAAGAATAAATCAAGGAGGCCTCGGAATTTTGAAGATGCATTTGCAAGAATCATAGAACCTTCTTCAAAGGTATGAAATTGTTTAGGGGGGGTGAAATAACAAGATTCGGGTATATTAATGTTCACAGTTATGGTTATAACATTGTATCAGTTTATTAAAAACACAAAAAAATATTAAATAATTGATTGATTATAATTATATGACCTGCTGCAGTTTTTAAAATAGATTGATATTATTTTAAATAAGTGTCATGCTGAAATATGCATTCGAAAAAGTCCACTGGTAAAAAATGATAAATATCTTTTTGTTGAATATATGTAATAGAACTTGACAGATTGTTCTTTCAGAGTCTTGGGACATGGCTGCCATTTCGATCTCTTCCAGATGACTTAAAACCGTTGCCAAAGGAAGGTAACATTTTTCACTGTGTACAAATTCTACTCGGTTATTTAGAAGGTATATTTATTTTCGCGAATACCATCATTAATGATTTAGAAACTCGTAAATACCTCCAATATTTGACAAGTACTATCCATAATTCAGAAATTCTTGATATATAGTTTTAAACATTGAATCCAAAATACTTAAATTTTTGGCGAGTTAGTATTATCCATAAAGCAAACTGTATTCGTAAAATAATTTTAATTCTTGAATCATAAACACTTTTAAAATTGAATTTATTTCTATTTTGGCAATGCATAGGAATAAAAGATACACTATTAACATGATTAATTTCGATTATACTTACGTATTTTAAGTTAGAATTATTTTTCCGGCATGCGGTCTTTGGTAATTAGAGAAGGGGATGGGCAGTATAGCTGTCCGTCCGTTTGTATATAGCTGTCTGTCTGACTTTCGTTTCCGCTTGATATGATCTCGAGAAGCTTTTGAGCTTTTGCAATAAAATTTTAAACAGCAATTAACTCCCTCTAAAAAAGAAACCTATTGATTTTGAGGTCAAAAGGTCAGGGTCATACATACATACATAAATTAAGCCTGTTTTGACACTTTCGTTAACGCGCGATATCTCCAAAAGCCTTTGGATTTTTGCAGTGAAATTTTTTACCATAACTTCCTATAGCTTACCCCTACTTACTTCGAGATCAAAAGGTGAAAGGTCAAGGTTGTGAATTCATGTATTCTGTGTGTGTGTGTGTGTGTGTGTAAAACTTTCATTTCCGAGAGATATCTCAAGATGCTTATAAGCTTTTGCATTACTGTTACCCCCTATGGTCCCGCTTGCCCTTTTTAAAGATTTACTTATTTTAAGATCAAAGTGAGTGCCCCCTTTACATCTGCGCATGCTCTTCTTCTTTCCTTAACGGAGGAAACAGATTCTCTGAATTAACTAAGTCTCCAAATATATTGCAAAATTATAGGGACCCCAAATGACAACTTGTTAACATGCGTCATGTTATTTTGTCTTTGTTTGGCAATTCCTATTTCCAAAGAATACTTGTAGTTTTATTAATTTTGATCAATACCTTACAATTTGTATGAACTTTTACACAAGTTATTTGGAGATTTTTGAAAGTACGAGATTGCGCCCTGCAGCGTTGTTTCAACTTCGAGAATACCTATGAAGGTAGCAGCATTTATAATATGCAAACAAAATTCGACTTCGTTTCCACTTTGAATTATAACAATCGTTTCAATATTGAGAAAAGGTTGAAAACAAATTTGTATAATTATTAATGTATATTTTTATATTCTCTCGATGGTCAACAAACACGCCAAACATGTGATATGGATTTTGAAAGGGTGAGGGACAAATGAAAACTTAAAAGTTACCTGAAAACATTTTAGCCCCCCTGCGATACTGCCTTTATCTTTATGCATGTTCAATGTGAGGATACACAAAATATGTATGTCGTTTTCACTGTATATAACTGTAAATGTACGAAAATCCATAGAAATCACTTTCTTTGGTTAAAAAAATATATATTTATATTTTCGCGTTATAACAGAAACTTTTTCGTAATTTTCGCGAATAAACATGAAACTTTCACGTAGGATCCTTTTTTAAAATAAACAAGTATGATGGGACACTGTTAATAACTAATTTATCAGGTGGAAGGGGTCTTGAATTTCCTGCATAATTTATATACATGTATATTAGGGAGGTATATAAAGGTTATGCTTTAATTTGCAAAAACTTTGCAGTTATTCGTGGTCTCACATAAAATTCTTGTCCTTGATTTAATTTTTAATGGGTACACCACTACAAAAGCATATTTTTATTTTAGGTATACTATATACATGTACTAATAATGAGATTTTACTTTCAATTCTGTATAAATGTGTACATACATGTAGTAGATAACAGATCTTACAAAGACCATGTCATCTGTTTCAAATTATTCTGAATTTTCATATCTAAAGGACACATCAATATACTCTGCTTCAGTCCGAAGTCCACCAGAAACATATCAGGTCCAGGTATATGTGGTAGGCCAGGACGGCATCCTTGTTCCTGTAGAGACAGCCACGGTACTGAGGGGTGGGGCTGTAACTCAGCCAATCCCAGACACTCCATGTGACCAAGCAATACCCATGCCAAACACGACTCAACTTACAGAGTCTCTGCCATCCATTCATCCAAGTAAATTAATTCATGATTTATTTATCTAATATCTGATCATTGAGAATCTTCTTTCTTTCACATACTTTTTTTTTTTTTACAGAAATCTTGAAGTCTATATCAATTGTCGAAAGAGAATATACATGATAATATTCTTTGGATTTGAAAAAATTATTTTAAAAATCTTTATTTTTTTCAGTTGAACCAGATGCCCACATTTCCTTGGAAACAAATTCTACAATTCTTTAGGTCAGGGAGCTCAGCTACTGGAGAGGCATCATGTATCAATTACCCTGCATAATCCCAGTCCTCCTAACATGAGTCACTGAACAGACATTTAGTGCCTTATAACAAAGAAACTTAGATATCAGACTGTTTGTAGAAAAGAAATTCAGAAAATTGTCAGGACAACTTTCTTCATTGAATTTAGAAATATCTTGTTCCAGAGGAGCAATGGGAATAAAAATATTCATTTCAATTTGTACATATATTGTTTTATTTTTGATGTATTTGCAATTAATATATAACATATTCTAGCTGTCACTTTTCTGTAACACAACGCCCACTAGCTGTCACTCTTCTGTAAAACAACGCCCACTAGCTGTCACTCTTCTGTAACTCGGACAACGCCCACTCCTTGTTGTCAATTTCCTCCTTCAGTCTCTGGTACTCTGTTACTAGGTCATCAAATTCACTCCCTAAGGATTCATAAGTTTGTAAAGTTTTTGTCACATAAGTCTTACTTTTATCTGCTTCTTCTCTTGCACTGTGTAATGTTTCTCTAAAAAATCAAAACAAAGAACTGAAAACAAGACAAATCAACACTCATACATGCAGGTATTTACATAATTTATGTCAGTAAACAAAATAAAGTATCATGAAGCAACCTTTACATAAAACATTTTTTTTTGTATTGCAGCATAAACATATGTTTACATTTATTTTTTTAAAATAAAGAATTTATAGAATACTACTATGTCCAGCTTTTTAAAAAACAATATATGTAAGAGTCCTTACTTTATTTTAAGCAGAGCTTTTGTAGTTTCCATTGTGTAGGTATCGCACAAAATCTGCAGCTCTACTAACCTGCATCAAATAACAAACGGGGATTTACATTCACTGCGCATTACAATACCGTATGCCCGTTTTTTTTTCACGATGATCTATTTTTCGCTTTTTCTGTGATCATTTTTAATTCACAAAATATTAAACACACAGAAATTATGTCAGCTTTAATGTGACATGAAAACATTAACATTTTAAACAAAAAATTTTCAATCATAAAAAATAACTTGTGAAAAATAAAAACTGTACAAATCAACCCCTTTTTCACAAAATTTCCAACACACGAAAAAACGGAAATACGGTAAAATTTTATCCAAATGCTTAATATACATAATTTTTAATAGATATGAGAGAGGGAGTTTTGGGAGGTGACCTACTTGATTTTGAGACACAGTCCGTCACACTTGGCCACCAGCCACTCAGCCGACACCGTGTCGTGTTCTGTCTGACTCTGGAGGCGGTACCTTGAGATCAACTCCTCCAACAGGTGCAGGGAGTCCAACAGAGTCTGAAGAACCCAAATAAACACAAGCATACTTATCTATTGTCAGAACATTTCAAGTTAACTGCCTCTGTACAGATTACTGGTTGGATGCATTGCTAAGGGAGATGTATGATAAAATCAGTCCAAAGCTTTAATGAACAGAGAACACAGATTTTGCTTTCATTCTACATTTTAATTGAGAATGGATTTAAACTGTTAACTAAAAATGTAACAAAGCACCAGGCAGGTGTATTTTTATAGATATGTCCAGCTGTCATTGTACCTGGTAATAAGTCTGAAACTGTTTCTCTCTGACGCTGTACAATCTCTCTAGGTGGTGTTTGTCTTCGTCTAATTTTCTCTTCCGTGACTCCATCAAGGCAGGTAACTGGGAAGATTTTGCTAAACTGGGACTGCCATCTAGCATAGAAATATCACACAGTTAAAAATCAATATACTTGTATGTAGTTATATTTTTTTTAAAAAGCATGCATTTTTTTTACACTGATAAGAAAAGGAACTCCTGTCAGATAATACAGAGAGTATATCTCTTGGACATAATACCATATAAGCAGAATTTTTTCGCCAGGATTTAATATTGGCTAAAAATTAAATACCATTTTTAAAGGAGAAATAGCTGAATTTGCGTCTCGCTAAAATTTCCACTTGTACTGTATGTTACCTAATATGTTTTCCGTTTCCTGGAAGTTCTGTAAATTTTCACATCTTGCAGCCAAACGTTCCTCTATCTGTGGAATCAACTTTTGTTGGAGGTATGACAGATTCTGAAAATGTAATAGACTATAAAGTCTTCTACAAAATATAATTTTTTGTCAAATTCATATCTCAGGACCCTAGTAAATTTAAAATGCGATATTTATTGTCATTGTACCATTGTTTATACATTTTTATGTAAGTAAACAATAAATCCTACTTTTGTATGGGGGTTCTGACTGTGTATGCTTTCTGCAGTCAGGCCCAGAAGGCTGACCTTACAGCTGGGATCTGGACTACATCTCAGGTAATCTTCTATCTCGGACAAGGTCAGACATTCCTGTAGCATTGTTTGAAACTGAAAGACAATTCAACACAAGGATTTGTTAAAATTTAGCTAATCTGCATACAATGCAATAATAATGTGATATATTTTTTATTTGAAACAACCTCCACACCCTTTTTTCTACTCAAAGAGGAAATTAAATATGCTGATCAGTTACATCATTTGCCCAGTTGTAGTTACCTGTTTGCCATCAGGCGACTGAGCCACATCTTGGCCCAGTTGTAGTTAATTGTACCTGTTTGTCATCAAGTGACTGAGTCCTATCTTGTCAAAGTAATAGTAACTTTACATGTTTGTCATCAGGTGATTGAGGCACATCTTTGCCCAGTTGTAGTTACTTGTACCTGTTTGCCTACAAGTGATTGAACCACATCTTTGCCCAGTTGTAGTTACTAGTACCTGTTTGCCTACAAGTGACTGAACCACATCTTGGCCCAGTTGCAGTTACTTGTACCTGTTTGCCTACAAGTGACTGAACCACATCTTGGCCCAGTTGTAGTTACTAGTACCTGTTTGCCTACAAGTGACTGATCAGAACCACCTCTTGGCCCAGTTGTAGTTACTATTTTACCTGTTTGTCATCAGGCAACTGAGTCATGTCTCTGGGACTCTTGTCTCAGTTCTATTAGTCACATCTGGGCCCAGTTCTAGTTACTTTTACTGGTTTGTCATTAGGTGACTAAGCCACATCTTGGCCCAGTTGTACCTGTTTGTCATCAGGTGACTGTGCCACATCTTGACTCTTCAGCTCCAGGTCTACCAGGAACTCCTCTATTTCTTTGTAAAGTATGTGTTGTAGAAGCCAGGTGTGCTTTTCATGTCTCAGCTCCTCCTCTGCCTAAAATTTAACATGTACTCCTATATTATCATTCAGATTTATTGTGAACAGTATAACTAAGATATACCCAACCTGAAAATTTAAATGAAAATTTCCTATCAAATTATATTACAAAATAATTACAGAATAACATACATTCTTCAGGATTTGTAAAAAGATTTAAAATATGTATTAACATGTATAATTCTAAGAGGTGTAGGTATTTGGAAGATGATCAAGCCTTTTCAGAATTGCATTTGAAGGAAAAATGAAAATCATAGGATTCTTTTTCAGTGTAATTTGATGCTCAGTACAGCTGTTATGTTGCAACAGTGTGTGATATCCACGAGACAGAAGTCCAATTTAACTTACTTGTTCAAGTTCCTGCTTGATGTGAAGACTGGTCCCCTCTGGGGTAATCCTTTGAGATAGTTGTGTAAGTAGATTGACCAGTTCTGGGTACTGCTGAACCTGAGCTGCTGTTATATCTATTGGGAGGGAGCTATTCACTTGAAAAATGGAGAATTCATTCATTAAATGTCACATATTGTATTTCTTCTACAATATTCATGAATTCACCAAGTGTTTAACAAGCCAGTGGTTATCTCTTTTAAAGCAGCACTTTTATTTACTATGTCCTTTGTGTATTGTTTCCTACATTTGTTTTACACATTTTGTAAAACTCAATTAAAATTATACAATGTCACCACTGGAATCAATCTTTTTCTATACAGTAATTGATAGAATGAATTTTGGCTTGAAATATTCAGTGTGATTATTACAATATATATAGCTATTGTTGTCTCTGTGACTACACATGCACAAGCAAGGGAGAAAATATGAAAAAAAAAAGATGGATGAGACCACAATTTAATTTGTACCAGACCCCCCCCCCCCCCTGAAAGGCCCTCTTGATAGTTGATAGGTAAGCAAAGTTCGACCTCCAATTATTTGCGATGGATTAACTTTCAATGTACTGGTAATATGTTTACTTATTGTATTTCATACTTAAAGTGATGTACCCACCATATTTAGCCTCAAATCCTTATAATTCATGTAAAAATTCGAATTTACTCTGACACTTTCAAAGTTCAATAGACGCAGACCTTATATGAAAATAAATCAAAATGAAAATACAAATATTCATATCTTATTGCAAAAAAATATAACAAATCGTATCATATTACATCTTTCCGCAGCCTTCTCAGATAAACTACTAGTTTGTGTTGACATTCTCAAAGCTTCAAAACATTCCCGCCATTTTTTTAGATAAGTAATTTGTACGAAGTGTATTTTCCCGTATTGTCTGATAATTATACATTTAAGATATAGAGAGTATAACCATTCAAAAAATAACATTTACGATAAGTTAAGTTAAGATTAAGAAACTTTAAACATATAAAAAAAAAAACAGTAATTCAGATATTTTTTCAAACGATTGATGTACGAGTTATTACCTTTTTACTAACTTTATTACCTCCGCATCCGAACTCTTTAGCAATGTAAACATTCTGACGTGGAAGGTTGGTCTCACCGGAGATTTACGATGGTTAGTAGTCTTTCGATCGAAATATAGTTGTTGCCAGTCATAGGAGGGATGGTATTTTTTGTTTGAAATAATGTCCTTTTACTATTTGAGAATATTTTCCTTGTTATATGAATATCTACGTTAAATCTACATATTTCGAATTCCCTCTGTTTTTCCTTGACCACCGTTCAATTGAAATGCAATCAATTCAGTTGAAATATAAGAGACATATAAAACCATTTCTTGAAGACATAGGCGTCGGAAGCAAATTGGAAGTGGGGGGGGCTAAACCAACGAAAAAGGGGAAATTCCAATTTTCAATGCCTATATGCCTATATTATGTATATATGTGCAAAAAAAAGTAGGAGGGAGGGTGGCTAAGCCCGCCCAAGCCCCCCCCCCCACCTCCTTTCCGGTTCCGACGCCTATGGAAGATAAGTTAATATTTATATATTGTGTTTTGCAATCTTATGTACTGAATTTATTTAATCGTTTTAATCTGTCTTATTCTTGGTATATATCAGGTCCAGTACAATCTCTTGATTTAGCTATATAGCTTTAAATACAATATAGCTTTATTAAGCTATTCAAAATAGCTTTATTTAGCTATTTATACACAGTTTTTCACAAAAATGTTTTTTGCTAGCAAAAAGTGGCATGTATTTGACTCTTCATATATGTACTATGGGTTATCAAAACAACAACCAAAATGAAAGATAGTTGTAACATTGCAGCTTCTGAATACTTTTAAGCAAAAAAAGAATTTCTGTTGTTTAAGTAACTATCCACTACCCTGAGTGGCAGTGAGTGCATTAAGGCATGAATAATTAGTGCTGGGTATCGCGACTGAAAAATCATATCGTGATATATTGCAATATTATATTTTGTATTGCGATATATCACGATATAAATATTTAATAATTTTTTGTTTTTCGTCAAGGTTAAATGAAAACACGAACTCAAATTACATGTATTTTTCGAGTTGATATTCCAATTGCCTGATCGCGTTATGTCGGCGAAAGTGGCAAAATAATTTTTTTTGTAGCACAACTTGTTGAATTCATTTAACGGGTAAGTTATAACTCTCAGATTCAGCTTTAACATGAAGGGGTTTAATATAACAGTTGTCGTCATTTCGGTTTTGAAAGAGACGTGTCTCTTGATCACACTTCACGTCGCTTGCCGCCATATTTTACCTTGAAAGGGGCAAATAACTCTTTTTGTAACAATTAATAGTATATTGAACCCCAACCGGTATTCACAAAAAAATACCGCGATACGTATTGTGAAGAATGAAATCGGGATACACCGGTTAACTAGGGGTGAAACGATACGCCTCCTTCAAGGTTCGATACATATCGTAAAATTTGGTCTCGATTCGGTTATTTTCGATACGATACATTTTGATAGAAGGAAACAGATTCAATGTTGTTTTATGCTACCTTTTACTTAATCTAGTAAAATAATTTATGTGCAAAATGGATAGAATGTATCAATTTAATTGATTTGACTGTTAAAAATTATTTTACAAACTTCAAGTCCACAAAAATTTACATTTATGAACTAATTATACAGAGGAGCATGTTTATACTTATGCCAAACCCGACTGAATGACGATCCCGACTGAAAAACGAACCAAACCGGAAATAGAGATTTTGTACCGTGTATCAAACCGACAAAAAATACTGCGATGAATTGATACCGCGGTGAACCATTTCACTCCTACGGTTAACCGGTAATATTGAACAGCACTATGAATAAGTATGATTGCTTCTCATTGTGCTGAACTGTTACCAATCAATTATCTTGTTGACCCTAATTGGTCTCCTTTATTATATCGTTGCAGAAGTAACTGTAATAATTGCTTTATATAGCCCAAAGACTTGTAGAACTTTGAGTGCAAAGTCTCTCAAGGAGATGTAATTTGATGAATGATTTTTACATGTATTATTTTAAGAAGAGTTCAAGGTTGTATATTATCACTGCACCATGGTGTGTTTTTAGCTCACCTGAGCCAAAGGCTCAAGTGAGCTTTTCTGATCAAAATTTGTCCGTTGTCTGTCGTTGTCGTCGTCGTCGCTGTCCTTGTCGTAAACTTTTCACATTTTCGTCTTCTTCTCAAGAACCACTGGGCCAATTTCAACCAAACTTGCTACAAAGTATCCTTGGGTAAAGGGGATTCAAGTTTGTTCAAATTTTTTCCAAGGGGAGATAATAATGAATAGAAAAAATAATGGCATTTTTAAAAAATCTTCTTCTCAAGAACCACTGGGCCAGAAAAGATGAAACTCATGTGGAATCATCCTCAGGTAGTGTAGATTCAAGTTTGTTCAAATCATGACCCCCAGGGGTAGGGTGGGGCCAAAATGGCCGATCAAAGTTTTACATAGGAATATATAGGAAAAATCTTTAAAAATCTTCTTCTCAAGAACCACTGGGCCAGAAAAGATGAAACTCATGTGGAATCATCCTCAGGTAGTGTAGATTCAAGTTTGTTCAAATCATGACCCCCAGGGGTAGGGTGGGGCCAAAATGGCTGATCAAAGTTTTACATAGGAATATATAGGAAAAATCTTTAAAAATCTTCTTCTCAAGAACCACTGGGCATGAAAAGATGAAACTCATGTGGAATCATCCTCAGGTAGTGTAGATTCAAGTTTGTTCAAATCATGACCCCCAGGGGTAGGGTGGGGCCAAAATGGCTGATCAAAGTTTTACATAGGAATATATAGGAAAAATCTTTAAAAACCTTCTTCTCAAGAACCACTGGGCATGAAAAGATGAAACTCATGTGGAATCATCCTCAGGTAGTGTAGATTCAAGTTTGTTCAAATCATGACCCCCAGGGGGAGGGTGGGGCCAAAATGGCCGATCAAAGTTTTACATAGGAATATATAGGAAAAATCTTTAAAAATCTTCTTCTCAAGAACCACTGGGCCAGGAAAGATGAAGATCATATGGAATCATCCTTAGGTAGTGTAGATTCAAGTTCATTCAAATCATGACCCCCAGGGGTAGGGTGGGGCCAAAATGGCCGATCAAAGTTTTACATAGGAATATATAGGAAAAATCTTTAAAAAAATTCTTCTCAAGAACCACTGGGCCAGGAAAGATGAAACTCATTTGAAATCATCCTCAGGTAGTGTAGATTCAAGTTTGTTCAAATCATGACCCCTGGGGGTAGGGTGGGGCCAAAATGGCCGATCAAAGTTTTACATAAGAATATTTAGGAAAAATCTTTAAAAATCTTCTTCTCAAGAACCACTGGGCATGAAAAGATGAAACTCATGTGGAATCATCCTCAGGTAGTGTAGATTCAAGTTTGTTCAAATCATGACCCCCAGGGGTAGGGTGGGGCCAAAATGGCCGATCAAAATTTAACATAGGAAATTAGGAATATATAGGAAAAATTTTCTTCTCAAGAACCATTGAGACAGGAAAGATGAAACTCCTATGGAATCATCCCCAGGTAGTGTAGATTCAAATTTGTTCAAATCATGACCCCCGGCAATAGGGTGGGGCCAAATGGCCGATAAAAGTTTTACATAGGAATTTCTAGGGAAACCTTTTAAAATCTTCTTTTCTGGTACTTTAAAGCCATGCTTAGTGATATTTGTAGGGAATCATCCTTAGGTAGTGTGGATTCAAGCTTTGTTCAAATCATGACCCCCTGGGGGGTTAAAATTCAAACCCCCCCCCACCCCCCCCTCAGTAAACTTTCAGTTCTGGTCTGATGTGTGCTTTTTCCTAGCCAATTGCTCAGGTGGGCGATGTGGCCCCTGGGCCTCTTGTTTGTACATACTGAGAAAATTACACCTTTAAGAAAAATATGTAGTAAAATAGCTAAATTAAGCTATTCTGAATAGCTTAATAAAGCTATATAGCTATTTAAAGGTACTTGGACACAGATTTGAAGTTATTATTTTCTCTATAATATTACGACTTATATATTTTAATAGCATATCACACAAAAATTAATTAAAAATCTTATTTCATATAAAAGATATTAAAGATATTAAAATTTCAAATTTTTTGGCGGGTTTGATTGACACATCCTTGCACTTTTACAAATTAATTTTATTCTTAATCCTTAGGAAAAGTGGCAATCTCGTTGTGTATAAATGAAAAAATATTAATACTACAATCCAGAAAATTCAGAGTAGACATGTTCGAAAGCAAAACAAACACACAATATATTGTCAGTCCGTGCAGTTGTGGTAAGCAGACTGTGACGATTGAGCGCACCCGGTGAAATGTTAACATCAACAAAAACAGAACTTGTGCCCTGTTTACAAAAACTGTGTACATAACATTAGTGTGCTCGATTTGCTAAACCCTGTATGCAACTCTTAGTTCGGAATGCCAATACTTGTGAAGGAGATTTGCTTTCTAACATTTCTACTCTGAATAAAATTATTTTTCTAGATAAAAGTTTTAATAATTCTCATTAATACACAACAAGATTGCCTCTTTTCCTAAGGATTAAGAATAAGGTTAAAATTTGTGAAAGTGCAAGCATGTGTCAATCAAACCTGCCAAAAAATTTGAAGTTTTAATAACTTTTGAAGGAAATAAGATTTTTAATTAATTTTTGTGTGAAATGCTATTAAAATATATAAGTCGTAATATTATAGAGAAAATATTGACTTCAAATCTGTGTCCAAGTACCTTTAAAGCTATATAGCTAAATCAAGAGATTGTACTGGACCTGTATATTTAATCCTTAAACCACT